AGCAATACTAGTATTGTGAATTTTTTGTTAAATTTGACCTGATAGTAATTTTTTCCGCGTGCATGTGGCAAAAGCGACAATGGCAGCCTGTAATTGACCCACTTACAAAGGTGCCATGGCAAGGGGATGGAGGGGGTGGAAGGAAAGGGGGCACTGTTTTGGGGGGTGCCCAGGTGGTGGGTGGTGGGTGGTTGGTGGCCTGGCAGGCGACAGACTGCGGCTGCTCAGCTGGCATCGCCAGCGAAATCAACACGTGTGCGGCAAGCCTCGAATTGTGCGCCAATTCGCTGCCGTTTACATTGTGTCTTGTGTGCATGTGGCCAAAAACCAGTTTGCAGTGGCTCCAAGTGTCCACAGTGCCCCCCCCCTTCACCTTCATGCCCGCCACCTCTGGCAGCACGTTTTCATTCATCGACAACAAACTGTTGCATGCAGCCGCCAGTTGTAAATTTATTTACTTATTTGTTTACAGCTCGTGATGTCCGTGGCAGTGTTGTCTTTGTTTTAAAGCCAAGTTTACTAGCTGTAGACAAACATTTGACCAACTTTAAAAATCTTAAATAATTCATTGTATAGTTAATTGAATTTATTTATTTTTGATCAGAATTCGTAATTTTAAATGTTAAATTTTCTTTGAAAGACTGGTTTATTTCATGGTGGAACCCTATTATGTTAACACTAAAAAGGAACAAGTTAAAGTAAAACAACAATATGACCGCAATAAAACAGTTAAATAAATGGAATATTAACTTAAGAGGATATTTATAAAAACCATTCTGAAACTCTTCCAAAAAAAAATAGCGTCAATAAAAAGGACCAAAATTGGTATATAATTCAATTTTTATTTTAAAGAACTTTGTTTTTTTGTTTTATTGAAAAAAGGGTTACACAAGCAGGGTCACAAAAACAGCCAAGGTGTCAGCACTGATCTCAGAGGCGCTCGTGCCGAGCTCGTGGAACACTTGGGACTTCTGGTGGCCACGGGTCGCCATCATGCCATGGTGATTCATCCGCAGTCGTATCGTCTTGTCTGCGGTCTGGAGTCTCCGCAAAATTATCAAGTCGGACACGCACCGAAAACCCCACATCGGACCAAAACAGACCAAAGCAATATATATATAGTCTATAGTCAGAGCCCGGTTCGATTCAGCGCCTTATCGCGGTCGTGCCTGCGGTTTTCCTTTCTATGGAAGACCCCTTTCACCCGCCGGCCCATCGCTCTTTGTTTGCGTTGGGGGCTTGTCCATTTGCACGGACCAATATTTGTTCATCGCAATTATTATTTGTCTGTTTGCTCGTATTTGTACAAAACGGAAACTTGCTCAAATTGCGTAAATATGTACGCTCAAGCGTGGCCTTATTCGGGGTTAATGCCGGGAAAGCCCAATGAATCATTTCGGGTTTTTCACTCCTGAGTGCTAGCATCAAGACGGGGTGTTTTAGATAACAAATAATACTTAAGTCGAGTGTTAAATCTAAACTCTCAAGCTAAAGGTAAAAAATACCCATGTTGATAAATTTAACATTTTTTTTTATTAAGTTTCAACAGAAATTAAATAACATATTTTTTTTCTCTTTGAGTTTTTAATAAATACATTTGTTTTATATCTTAAAAAGAAATAGCAACATAAAAACTTATTGTCTTTTAAAGCCAATAAATTATTTGTACTTTAATATATTTCTATTTAACTTAGTTTATTACAACCTTGACGCCTTTTTGTTAAGCTTTTTATTATAGCCTAAGAACTATACCACCTAATTTACAACACCAACATAGATGTAATGTACATTATCTTTATACAACGATGTAACAAAAAACTTTGTACCTATGGTGATAACACTTTGATATATTATACAAAATACTCTATACTCGTACAATATTATTTTTTTTGAGAATTTGAACGTCATGACGTACGACTTAAAGTTTTGCATGTGGTTTTAATTAGGTGAATTATAGCTTATCCAAGGGAACAAGCTAATATTTTGAAATGTGCCAAAAAAAACCTTCACTCTGTTAATGCAAAAATAAATATCAGTAAGTTTTCTTAACTCCAAGCCCATGGATAAGCCCATGTTACACATTTCATGATAGTGCAGTCAACTTGACGGCTTGCAAAGATCAGAATGATTTATTTGCTGGCAAATATTAATCTACACACAAATGCCATCACCCGCAGTGGGTGGCAGCTGGGAAGTCGGTCCAGAATGCAGGGGCTGTGTAAAATGCTAAAGAGACCGCTCCTAGAAATTGGCAACAAATGTAGAAACATTACCCGATGCAAACTGCAGCTAATTTGAAATTTTAAACAATTTTTGCAACGACTGCAGCAGCGCAACAACAAAAGATGCCGAAAACAAAGCCAAAGGCGAGTCGAGTCGACTCGAGTCGAGCGGAGCGTTGCGCTTTGATTGAATTGAATGCGCAAAGCTTGTGGAAGTCAAAGTCGCAAAATAAGAAATAGGCGCGAATGGTTAAACATTTAACGAATTTTTGATGGCCTAGCATTTATTCATAAAATGCGTCTAAGTATGTAATATAAAATATTTCTTTCGTTGTAATTGTTGGAAATGCTTGTAAATACTTCAATATAAAAAAATATTTGTAAATGTAAGTAAATGGATAACATTTTTGTTACCCATGCCCATGGATATCTTAAATTAACTAATGCTGTTGCTTGATAGATATTAAATTAAAAACAATAATGTTAAAATTTTAGTGTTCCCAATATACCCCAAAATTTTTCGAACATAGGGTATTAAAAAAACTGAAACGAAAACGAAACACCAGCGACATTGGCAATAGTAAGAGCGTTTAATGCATTTTGCGCCCGCTCCAAGCGAGGAAATTATGTGAATTTCGTATTGGTATAGAGTTGTTTGCGGCCGCCGCCGCACACCTGCGTGCCAAATCGCATAGCTTCAATACTCGAATACTCGAAGTATCGGTGACAAATCCGCAGGCTGCAAAAATAACAAAAGTTTGCTTCAAGTTTAATGAGCGCAAAATGAATGCCAAAGATGCTGAATGCCGGGATGGTTGCAGGGCAACCGGAATTACCATAATGATCTCAATATTTGCTCAACTTTATCACGACAACTATTTAATTACCCACACCCGTGCAGCGGCGGTAATCGCGGCCCGTTCGCTTCAATTTCAGCACAATTAGACACGCGAGAGGCGGCAGGCAGGGCGTATGAGTAATGCCAGTGCAGCTCTATCGCCAGGGTCTCCATCTGACTTCAGTGCCTATTAATAGCGATCCGCGTCTTTAGTCGCCTCCGCTTTTTATTTTTCTTCCTCTCAAACACCCCACTTGGCATTACTTATTTTAGGCACTTTTATCCAGAGCAGCGCACATTTGTAGCATTTGTAACATTTGTGGCACTGGGCGAGGCAATTACTCACGGCAAGGGCAACTCCGTCAACAGATTTGGCAGCTGCCGCATTCGGGGGCGGACAACTGGGCGACAGCATCGGTTGCAACCAGGGATATGCTAAAAGGGAGTAATCTTTAATTAATATACATTAAATAAATTAAAGTTTTTTAATAAGTGTATACTAATTTAATTTATGATCCTTATCTTTTTACGATAACACTAATTAAAAGGGAATTATTTGAACGCTTCAAAAATGGTTTTTGCTTATAAGTATGTTATTCAACAATTATAGAAACAAAAATCTTGTTTTTTTAAATCCACTCCTAAATTATTTAAAAAAGGTTTTTCTTTAAAGATTTGAAAGGAAAAATTTTGAAGGTGTATTTTAGCAGCCCCCTTTAGCAGCGCCCTTGTGTTGAAAACACAGCGCAAGTTGCAACAAATTAGCTGCGAAACGGGCGCGTGAGAAAAACAAAGTTGTGCGGTCGCAGGTCTTAAAAATAGCCCGCAAAACGTGACATGACATTGGGGATTACCGAGGAGTACTAATCTGCCCAGATTGACTCATTTTAATTACCGCAGTGGGTGGAGTTTCTTTGGCTCAAATAAGTATGCTATGAAATCAAGTAACCCATAATTATTATTTTCTAATGAGGAATAATTAAACCAATTAAAACTAATAAATAGATTTCGTGCAACAATTACATTTCTCTTCAAAACAGTTAAATGTACAGAATTATGTCAGTTATTTAAACTAAAACAATAATAAAAATGCAGAAATATTTCCCTCACACAATCAGTTGTTTTGAAGCATTTAAAAATTAAGTTGGCTTATAAAGAAGATTCTCCTTTTAGTATTTTCTGCTATCTGCATCTGCCCATCTTAACTATCCCCGCAAAACCGACAAAAACAGCTGCACAAACTGCAACAAAGGCAAAATAAACAAAGGCTGGAACTTGGATTGTTGCAATCACCGAATCGAAACCATCAGAAACATTTGCCAAAACAGATGCCATTAACCAACTATTTATATATCTACTCGACCATTTGTGGGCAAAACCTGGCCGGGATATCCATTTAAACAATTTCAATTGATGCGCTTTTATTTATTGACGCTTTATAACTATTTAATGTTTATATTTACTTACCCACAAGATGAACGATTAAGACTTTCCAAGCAAACAACAGTCGTTGGTTTTTGTTATTATTTCAAAATTTATTTTACTGATGGTTAGTACTAAATAATTTAGTTTTCTTGTAATTTACCATTACCACTTTCAATTAATTTTGGTTTTTATTTTTGCAGTCTTAAAAATTTGTCTAAACAATAAATTTTTCATGTTGCTTCAATTTGTTTATTTTCAATGTTTTCTTTTAAATAGTACTTTACGCTAATGTTAAATTTGCTGAGAGAATTTGTTATAAGAAAATGAAAGCCAATAAATGTGGAAAGGAGGAGGCGGGAATATCGGGCTGACGTGGATTGGAATCGAGTGGCATTAATTACAAATATACATATGTGGTGTTCCTTTGCTTGCAATTGCAAATGCAAATGCAAAAAGACGCGCGGCGACAACAATGAGATTTCAAAAAGTCAACATTTTTTCTATTTCATATTTCCTTTGTTTCGGGTTATTAGTTTCGTTTGTATTTCAAAAATATATTATGGAAAAATTGTACACTGATATTGAGGTATTGGAAAAAATCGGCATATATGTTAGGTATATGTATATCTGTATCTATATGTATGTACAGGACATTCAAAAATTGTATGTTTACGCTTAGGTAACGCTACTAGTTTGACATGCAAAAAATGGCCTTGCGTTTGGTGCTGTTCTTAATTGGGTAAAATTCGAAAATGTTCAACGGAATATGGCAAATAAACCGAGAGGAAAACTCATTCCTGATCGTTCGTTTTTATGGCAACCTAGGACATCTATATAACAAGTGCAATTCTACTACAATTAAATGTATCTCTGAAAAGCTTTAAAATTGTTTCCTTCTATAATTGCTTGCTGTTCTTGATTTCTGTTGTTTCTATTTGTTGGTTCTATATAATTCGTTTTCGTTTATTATGAACTATATAAAAATATTCGTTATTATTTATGTATTAAAATTCACAATTTTGGTTACGCTCCATTCGCAAAAATACGTTTAGATTTTTTAAATATTTATTTTTCCCTTCAGCGCGTCTAGAAAATCGAGTATGGGAATCCATCAAGTTTTTAGCATTGGAAAGGGGTGACTAATATTAATTTTGAAATCACACACACGCACACACCCATTCGCTCAATTGATAGTAGGATGGGAAAGACCTTATTTCCACTCACTGATATCGATTATCCCCCGATTCTCAAATTTGCAGCTACCTTGTGGCCTGACAATCACGCTCAAGGATCCATTTAGTTAGTCAGACATCTAGGATACCCTATCATCGATACTCTTACTAGATTCGATTAATAAAAGTATAAATTTGAAGTAATTTACTAACTACTGGTTGGTTGCTTTGTCATTTGTTTTTGGTTTTATAAATATAAATTACAGGTTTTAATTACAGTGCTTTACATTTGAAATTTCGTTAGAGACGCTAAATTTATATTAGCTAATATCGTGCCAGCATTAGAAGTACAATATGGCTATGTTACGGAATCGAAATGGAGGCTCGAGACACTGAGATTGCATTTTATGCAAACTGGTACCCAAAAATCAACAAAAAAGCGCACCCAGAGCGGGACAATTGGGAGCGGGACAAAGACACATACACATACACGCACAGAAATATACAAAATACACTTTGGGCTTAGATGTACGATGCAAAATAACAGCCAAATAACACTCGATGCTGTTATCCGCTGATTACTTTTAAAGCTTTTTGGCGCCCAGCTTCATGGGACCGCTCGCCCGCTGGGCCCGCCGCGCCTCCAATTCCCGCTGTCGCTGCAACTTCTTCTCCTCACGCTTGCGACGCGCCTCATCCAGTTTGGCATTTCCTAAAATTACAAATTGCTCGCATTAGTTTTCGTTTAATAACTATATATGGTTTATAAAAATAAAACATCCTCAACTCACCAAATCCTGATTCATCCAGTGGCTCAAATTCCCCGTCTGCCCACGAATCGCTATTCCAATTGGCATTATGCGTCGAATTATTTAAATGCGACGAAGGCGGGCTAATGTTATTACAATTGGCAGTGGCCGACGTGGGCGACGTGTTGCTGCTGGATAGATTGGGCAGCTCCTTTGGCCGCAGCATCGATTGCTTCGACGGCGAGGTGACGTGAGAGTTGAGCCTGGCCAGCGGCTCGATCAGGTCGTTGAGTTCGTGCTGCTGCAGCTGCTGCTGATGGGGATGCTGTTGCTGATGCGGCAGCAGCGGCCGCTGATGCTGCTGACTGGATGACGTGGTGGATGATATAGATTGTCTGGCCAGCTGCTGTTGCTGCTGCTCCTGCTCCGCCTGCTCTTCCTCCTCGCACTATGAAAAGTTTAAGGAAGTTAGCTAATAAATTGGGGGACAGAGTGTCTATGACCTACCGGATCCTCTTCAAGACTTCCCCACTCCTCGTTGTCCCAGCCATCGCGCACTTCACTCAAGGCATTGGCAGCCATCAAGGCGCCATTGTTGGAGCTGGCTGCCAGCGGACTGCTGGGATCCTGAGACGTCTGAAATTGAACGAGAATAATTAGTGGTATTTAAATGGTAGTCAAGGTTATACCCACATCCATTTCGCCCCAGTTTTCGTTGTCCCAATCGTTGTTGCCATAATCAGAGGCCGAGGCGGAGGTGTCATTGCTTTCATGCTCCAGCGACGTCATTGAGGTAACACTGCTCGTGGTGGTCGATAAACTGCTGCTCGATGGTTGCTCTGCACCGCAAATGTAAGCCAGGTTAATTGCATTGTGAGCATTGCATAAGCGAGGCGAATACTCACCAAGCGACGCTGGCTTGGACAGATTGCGTCCAGTTAAAGGCGGTCTTGGTCGAGACGAATCACTTTGGCTGCGATAGAACTTGGCTGTAACGGCCGTCACCGCCCATCCCGCCCAGGTGGCCGCCGCGTTGCCAATTGAGGGCGTGGCCGTGTGAACATCCGCCTCTGCAAGAGAAAATTTCAAATTAGTTATAGCCTAGACCTTATGCTTAACGTATTAAATCTGGGAACTAACTCATGCCGAATCTTTTTATTTTTACCGCAGATAATGTGTCAATTACCTAATCAAATCCATTACGTTTCACTTCATTACATTAGTATTTAAAAATACATTAAGCGTTATGCTACTGTTCAAAACCCCATTTGTTTAAGTTGAATTCTTAAACTTTTGTATATTTATTGATCTTTAAATATTTGAAATGAAATTATAGTCTTTACTATATACAAAATAGGGTTCCAAGAATAATTTTGCCAAACTAATTTAGTAGTCTTTTAACTCATTGATACATTTAATGATTGATTTTATGATTATTAATCGTATATATTGGACTCACCCATCGTTTCTCGCAAACTGGGATCCTCGGAGACCTTCTCCAGTTTGCCCAGGAAGCCGCGAATGGTTTTGAAAGCCGGATCGCGCACCGTCTTCTCCGGATCGACGCTGAGGGAACACAGAGACGGCAGCACGCGGTTGGCCACTTCGCTGAGCAAAAAGTACTGCTGGGTGGCGGCAAGGGCCAAAACTCCGGCGACTCGGGCCGGCGGAAAGGGATCCCGCATGGCGCGAATGAAGGCGGAGACCAGCACGCGTTGACGCACCTGCGGATGCAAGTGCGGCGCAATCTTGCCCAGACACACCGTCGTGTTAGTGCGAATGCCGCCTTGGTCATCCCGCGCCTGCAGCCTGGCAAAGTGACGCAGCACCTCCACGTTCAGATTGTTGTAGTTGAGCTTGGGCGCCAAATGGATGATCGACTTGACCGTTTGCTCGCGTATAGTGGCATTGGTGTCCAGAAAGCCGTGAGCAACCTGGGGAAAAATCTGATCGTTGACCACCTGTGGCTGCAAATGGGCGATGAACAGATCCAGCTGCTGCAGCAGGCGCGATCGCGTCACACGATCCGTTGAAGCGAACAACTTGACCACACAGGGCACAATGCGTTTCTGGTACTCCACCTCGTCCAGCAGTTTGCCCAGCTGCAAGAGTAGAATGCTGTGTGAATTTAGGCCAGATAAGGGGTATAAATTCAATGAACAACCTTAAACATGGGTGCCAGCACTGCCGAGCCCGCATCTCCGTACTCGTAGGCTGTTATCAGCTGTGGAAGTATCTTGTGCCTGCACACATTGTCCGGAAAGTTGTCCAGATGCGTGGTCAGTCCACTGAAAAAGCGATTCTTCTCTGCCTTGTCCTTGATTTGGATTTCCTCCAGGAAAAGCAGTGTGTCCACCAAATCATTCTTGAAAAAGCCTCCCGGCTTGCGGCACCGTGTGATTATATCCGCCGGATTGGGGCGATTAGAAGGTGAGGCTCCCACTAGCTCGCAGTAGAGCGATTGCAGGGATTTGGGTATGTGTTCTATGTCCTTCAGGTTGGAGCGTTGCTTGAGCACGCCATTGAAGGCCTCCCATACCAGACAGCCCAGCCCCCACATGTCCACGGAACTGGGTGATAAATGAGTTGTAAATTAGGTTTTAAACAGTTGAAGGGTAAATGCTGCGCGTACCATTTAGTGGCCGCCTTGAGCTTGCTCTGATCGTTTTTCTCTGGGGAATCGTAGACCTCCAGGGTCACTGGAATCTTGGCGGGCGGCATAGGATTGCCATCAGCCGCTGAGACATACTCCAGGCTGCCCAGCTTCCACTCGCCCGAGGCATTGACGAACACCGACCAAGCTGAGACATTGTTGTGCCGCAGATTGCCATCGTTGTTGAGAAAGGACAAGGCGCGCTAAAGGGACATTTGACAGATAGATTTGATTAATAAGCGTAGCAAATAGAGAGATATACCCAGTACTTACTGTGATCTGGAAGATGCCCCATGCCAGGTAGAGGCCCTTCTGCACGTTGTCGCTGCCCAGCTTGGCGAAATAGCTGCCCAGCGGATCCACCGCCTCGGTGGCCACATACAGCATCTTGTCCGTTTCCAGGGAGTCCAGGTATTGCAGGATGCTGGGGTGACGCAATGTCTTCAGCCTCTTCAGCGATGCCTTGGCCAGTTCGCATTTGGTATCGGATCCGCTGCGGATGTCGTAGACGAACACGGACACCTCCTCCAGCGTCGTCTTGCGCTTGGCCTTGTGCAGTGTCCATATGGAGTACTGATCAAAGCCGCCCACGGGTTCGCCAATGTCGTAGGGAAAGTCTTTCGAGGAGTCGCGCGAGAAGAACGACCACATCATGTGTTTTGCTCGGCGGCTCAATATTTTGTTACTGTTGTGTCACGACGCAACTGCAACAACAACACACTGCGCAGGCAACACACACGCACACACACACCTTGTTGCTGCTGCTGCTGCAAAGGCACTGAATTCGGTTGTGGGGCCTCCGATTGTGGTTTAAGCCTTGTGCCTTATGCCTCTGTCTTTAGCTTTAGCTTTGTCTTTATCTTCGTCATGCCAATTCTGCCTGCTATATGTTCTATAAATCCTCCGCTGCGCAGCAACAATTTTCCAGCTTTGCACACGCACACACACACGCACACGCTGGCTAACACTTATCCGCTGTTTTTAGTCCCGAGAGCTCTCATTCCTGGGATCCTGGGAATCCTGGACAGGACGATCCGATATATGTGGCTTTGATCCGGGGGCGGGGAAGTCAATTGATCGGATCGGGCGCTCGTCTCCGTCGAAAATTCCTAATCTTTTTCCCGTGTACGTCAGCTTTTTTTGCGTGAGGCGTTAGTGACGGACAAACGGAAGGCGTGCGTGAGCAGCTGACTGCAACGGAGCACACAGAAAACAGGGTGGCAACTCTGGTCGCAGCTGAAAATCAAGTTGACATTTTTGCTCACCACTTTATTAACAATCATTTGTTGTTAAATCAGTTTTATTAATAACTTATTTACACCTAATGACAACAATTTTCTTAATTTTTATATACATATTTATAAATATATTTTTTTAATGCTTCCACCTTCTTTTACTTTACTGACTGCCAGTCACCACGAATAAAAACAAACCTCAACGGGGTGGCAACTACCCTCGGTGTTATAACACTCGTTGTGGCGCAGCCAACTTAACGCAGGTGAATTTTCTCCGACCATTTTGCCGAGTTGAAATTAAGTTAATTTTCGTGGCAGGGAATCTTCGACAGCTCACAGGATGATGATGCAACGCACCCAGCTCTTGCTGCCCCTGGCCATGGAGGCCACCGTGCTGGCCCAGCAGCAGCGTGGCATGGCCACCCTGAAGATGATTTCGATGCGCCTGAAGTCCGTGAAGAACATTCAGAAAATTACGCAATCGATGAAGATGGTGTCCGCTGCGAAGTACGCTCGTGCGGAGCGAGACTTGAAGGCGGCGCGTCCCTACGGCATTGGTGCCCAGCAGTTCTTCGAGAAGACTGAGATCCAGGCCGACGAGAAGGCGGAGCCCAAGAAGCTGCTCATCGCTGTGACTTCGGATCGTGGTCTCTGCGGCGCCGTCCACACTGGTGTGGCTCGTCTCATTCGCGGAGAACTGGCCCAGGATGAGGCCAACACCAAGGTGTTCTGCGTTGGTGACAAGTCGCGCGCGATTTTGTCCCGCCTGTACGGCAAGAACATCCTGATGGTGGCCAACGAGGTGGGCCGTCTGCCGCCCACTTTCCTGGACGCCTCGAAGATCGCCAACGAGGTGATGCAGGCCGGCTACGATTACACAGAGGGCAAGATCGTCTACAACAGGTTTAAGTCGGTGGTGTCCTACCAGTGCTCCACCCTTCCCATCTACAGTGGAGACACCGTGGAGAAGTCCGAGAAGCTGGCCGTCTACGACTCGCTCGACAGCGATGTGGTCAAGAGCTACTTGGAGTTCTCGCTGGCCTCCCTCATCTTCTACACCATGAAGGAGGGTGCCTGCTCTGAGCAGTCCTCCCGCATGACTGCCATGGACAACGCTTCCAAGAACGCCGGTGAGATGATTGACAAGCTGACCCTCACCTTCAACCGCACCCGACAGGCGGTCATCACTCGCGAGCTGATTGAAATCATCTCCGGTGCCGCCGCCCTCACATAAGCGATGACGTTTACGTGTTCGAAAGGCTCCAACGATACATAAAGCTAATTGCATATGGTGCCAGGCACCAGGAGCGACGCCTGGAACCCTAGTAATGTTACACTTTCAAGAAAAACTCCCAGAATAAATAGCGTGGAACGAACGAAAATAACTCTTAACTCTTGGAGTGTTTAACTTTGTGGAGTGGTAGTCAAAGAATTCTAAGAGAAACTGCAAAGGTCTGTTTTGGTTTTCATAAATTGATATTATTTTGAGATTTGATGATTAATTACGTGTGAATCCCTATTTAAATGCTAATAAATGTAGTTTATTATCACTTTAACCAATTAAACTAAAACTAAATAGTGAATTAAATCCTTCTTCAAATATATAACCAAATTTTTAAAAACAATATATTTTAAAAAATGAAACCTTGAAACTAAAGTTAAGGTAAATCCCGCAGTCCTTTTGGAATATTTACGTATATTTTAGCCCACATTCAAATTTCAAGAAACGACAACTACACTTTGTGCTTATCTATGGAATTAAGGCTTGGGATTTCATTGGGATGCTTCGTTCGTTGTTTAGCACATATTCTGGAGCACGTTCAGTGTGTAGGCTCCGATGTCCTCGTCCTGGTTGGTCCAGGATATCAAAATGGTCTTCTGCTTGGGGTCCTTCTCGTCCTCCTCCACCTTCACTTCAACAGACTCGATGGTTATGGAGCCGTTCTCCTGCATGGTAACCGTCCAACCGGCCAGCTTTTCTTCGAGCAGAGTCTTCAGCCTTTCACTGGTGCGGATCATGGGACCAGGATCCTCCATCTTGACCTTGGAGGTAAATCGCATCACATGACGATTGATGCCGATCTCCTTGAGGGCATCGGTTAGGTTTTGCAACATTATTCGATTGTCCTTCATCACAAGGACGCCATGGATGAGCCGCCGTCGTTTGGGGTCCGGCGGTTGGGCGTTGTAGGAGCGGGCCTCGGCTTTAAGTAGGGAAACGGAGGCATCTACGGGTATTTTGACGGGCGTTGAAATTACACAGGTCTCGCCATTGGCCGGCATGTATGTTTCCAGGTTAAACTCGTCTTTGATCTTTGAGCGCAGGAACTTCATCTTTTCTGCTTCACCATGAACGAGCATTACGTTCTTTGGCTCACAGTTCTGGATTAGCTGCATAATGCCTGCAAGAGAAAGGTATTATTATGACCACCTTCACACATGTAAGTCTAAGCTACCTTTGGCATCGGCATGGGCCGAGAAGCTCATGTATTCCACGGCCATCTTGACCTCCACCACCTGACGGTTCTCGAACTCCACTTTCTTAGCGCCTCCAAGGATCTTATTGCCCACTGTGCCCTGTACACAATAGCCGGGCATAATCACCATGTTGTTCTCATTGGGCGCCCATTTCTTGAAGATCTGCAGGGAGAGGCCCGCGTGCAGCATTCCCGGGGTGGCAAACACCACCATGGCTCCAGGATTATCAATGTAGGCCTTGTCGAATGGCTTGATGTGCTTGAAATCAAACATGTTGCGATGGACGAAAGTCTTTCGGATCTTCTGGTTCGTCCAGGTGATGAACATTTTGTAATAGGTGTTGGCCTTCTCCGTGAGACCCAAGGCAAAGTAGATGGGGTACTTGAGGTTCATGCGCTCCCAGTAGGTTTCCAGCAGGATGCAAAGTTCCTGGGCGCGACCCAATGCAAAAACAGGGATTAGAACCTTGCCGCCCTTCGCCACGCACTCGTGGACTTTCTTGAGAAAGTCCCTTTCGCGACAGCGCTTCGAATCCCTAATGGTGGTTGCGTAGGTGCTCTCGGAGATGAGCAAATCCGGTCGACACTTGTCTATCCAGGCGGCGCCAAGATGCCTATCCGGAGTCATGTTGTAGTCACCCGTGTATACCACGCTCTGGGAGCCCACTTTGATCCAAAACATGGCTGCACCCAGGACATGACCAGCGTAGTAGGCTTTTATCTCCAGATCCGTGTCCACCATCATGCTCTGGTGAAGCGTGACCGGTATAACCTTTTTCATGCAGTCCTTAATCATCTGGGTGGTGAAGAAGTTGGACTCGCCCTTGCGCTCCACGGCCACCTTGCGCATGTCCTCCAGCAGGATGGGTGCAATGGCCTTGGTGGGGTGCGTCATGTAGATGGGTCCGGTGTAGCCCACAATCTCGGACATGTAGGGCAAGGCGCCACAGTGATCTGCATTGATAAAGAATCGATTAGAACCATTGCTGCCCCGATAAGGAGTCCTCGTCGTTGGAGTCGGAAAGACTCACCCAGGTGGAAGTGCGAGATGATCACGCAGTCGATGTGGCTGGTGATCGGTCCCTCCGGTACTATGTAGGAGAAATCCGGGAACCGGCGCTCATCATTATACCCCATATGCATCCCGCAGTCGAGCATTATGTTCTTGCCGCCCATCGAGAGCAGCAGGCAGCTGCGGCCCACATCCTGGCCGGCGCCAAGCGGCGTAATCTTGATGTCCGGCATGTTTGGGAAGGATCACCTGGCTCCACCTTTCTGCTTTTAAGCGGCAACTTGTTGCGCTATTAATTGAAATTGCCGAAAAAGTCTACCGTGATTTTTGTAAACAGCAAGGGCGCTGGGGTGGCGTTGCCACTCTGCCGGCTAAAGCGGTCTGGTAACGTACCCCATTATTTAGCATATTTCTTATTGGGGTGTTCCAAGAATGCTCCTAAAATTTTAAGCTTTCAAACTTTTAAATAAACCTTTAAACATAGATAACTTTATTCTTCTCATACGGAAAAGGCAAAACCAACACCTATATTTAATCTTTTCAACTGTATTATATATTAAAACCTGAAGAAATTTGTAACGAATTAACGAAAATCTTCTGTTATTGCGTTTTTCAGAACTTTTACCGCAATGTTTTGCCGCTCTAGAAACGGTCATACTGAACCAACAGAAAAATAATAGATAGCGTCTTTTCTTATCAAATCACTGTTTTGTTTTTCAAAAACGCAAACTGCTGCAGGATGCCCGATTCCTTGGAGGAGAAGGACACCTCCACAATTTCGCTGCGGATTTGCGTGGAGGGACATGCAAATGCGCTGGTTTTGAACAAGGATAACAACCAGGTGGCTTTGGCTGGAAGGAGCTGTAAGATTAGAAGCATTTAAGGTTTTTCTATAAGTACATACATCTGATACTTTCTCCCAACAGTGCTCAAGGTGTACGCCATCAACAGCAATGGCTTTACGGAATCGTGTAACATGCGCGGGAAGAACCAGAACCTTAGCTATTCCGCCAACGATGTGGCCTGGTCCACCTTGGATAGTAATCTTCTGGCCACGGCGGCCACCAATGGCGTGGTTTCCGTGTGGGATCTCTCCAAGTTCGGGCGGCAGAAGCAGCTCCTGGTGTACAACGAGCATGAGCGCACTGCCAACACCGTGACCTTCCATAGCAGCGAACCCAACATCCTGATCTCTGGCTCCCAGGATGGCACCATCAAGTGCTTCGACATCCGATCGGATAAGTCCGTTAACACATACTTCTGCAACTCGGAGTCGGTGAGGGACGTGAAGTTCAGTCCGCACACGCAGAACATATTCTCCGCCGTCTCCGAGAACGGAACCGTCCAACTGTGGGACATGCGGAAGTGGGACAAGTGCATGGTCCAGTTTACGGCTCACTACGGACCCGTCTACACCTGCGACTGGCATCCCACGCGGAACTGGCTGGCCACCGGCAGTCGGGACAAGCAGATCAAGGTGTGGAACATGGACGGCAGGCCGGGATTGGAGCACACTATACATACGATAGCGGTGGTGGGACGGGTGAAATGGCGGCCAGAAAGAACGTAGGTTTGGGTTGACTTTTAAAACCTTTCGTATACTAATTCTGCCTAATCTCTTCCAGCTATCACATTGCCAGCTGCGCCCTAGTGGTGGACTACAGCGTGCATGTGTGGGACATCCGGAGACCCTACATCCCATTCGCCTCCTTCAATGAGCACACCAATGTGACCACTGGTATTGCGTGGCAGGGCAGCGATTCCCACTGTCTGCTGTCCATCAGCAAGGACTCCACCATCTATAAGCATGCTTTTAAGGATGCCACAAGGCCAGCCTTGAAGGCAAATGCTCAGGGAGCCAGCTTGGGCAGATTTGGGGACATCTCATTTGTCAATAAGATCAAGGAGTATGCTCCAAAAGCCAGTGGCGCATCCAATACCAAGTCTTCCAGCTTTATGTATGCTTATTAAACAATATTCACTTGCTAGTTTCTAAGGACTATCATTTTAGAAGTCGCCGGAAACCGAATTTGGCTGGTAGTATTCAGTTTCATTTGGACCATTCTAAGATGTACAAAATCATGGTTAACGAAACGGTAAATTTAATATTTTAAACAAAAGTTAAGGCTTAACCTAATATTTTACTTCTTTCAGTTCTCTGGCTATCCCCTAAGTGAATCCGTCTCAAGACCTATCCAAGAACATGAAAGTTTTATTGGCTGTGCCAGGGAACTGATAATTAGTGGCAAAAAGCTGTCCGAGCTTTGCGAGCACAATGCAGAGGTGTCCAAGAAATACGGCAAACATAACGTATGAAGTTTAATTTATTTTTCAACCCAAAAAACTTATCTGTATATTTTTACAGGCCACCACATTGTGGAACTTTATCAAACTCTTCTATGGCAGCAATCACTTTGAACCTCCCTTCGAGCATCGCTCCTCGTTCTCGAACCAAAAAAATCCGATGAACTCCCGCCGTGCCACCCAAGTGGCCAGCGATTGGCCCCAGCAGCGGAGTGAATTGGGCCAGGATCTCAATGGAAACACACCGGAGACGGCCCACGAGATTGATGTGGCCCATGTAGATGACGATCCGCTCGGTGGCAGTGGTGTAGAGCATCCACCCACTAGTTCTGTGATTCTCTCCGAGACGCAAATCATCAGCGAGATTACCTTTGATAATTTCGAGCTGTTGCGCAATGGATTCATATTCGTGGGTCCCACAGAATGCGCCAAAGCTTTGGCATTTCCTGCCCTGCATCACGATGTTCAGGCAGCTCGCCCTCAACTGGATCTCAAGGCCTCCGATCACGAGAAGTCGCCTGTAAGTTGATTTTGCAACTACTACTACAATTTATGGCTTATGTGATTTATTGATTAATCTTTTAGCCACCTCATGTGCCCACTGTACTGAAAGTCAGTCATGCTCCGCCCATTCCCATGTGGGAGCCACATAAGTTTGTGTCCGACGCCCTCATGCTGATGAACGACGTTGGTGATGTTCAAACTGCGCTGACAGTGCTTATAGCTTTGGGAGAGGCTCGTAAACTGTTGCCCATTGAGGACGCTCTGGTGGTGAGTATCTATAAATATATGCTGTCAAAGTCATGGTATACCTTTGGTTTTCCTTTCCAGGAGCACTGGTTCTACACCTATGTGGACCAGCTGCATCGCTACGAGCTGTGGAACGAGGCCTGCGAGGTGATCAACCGCTCCTGGCTGCGATCCGTGCAGCAGATCAACCAGCACTCGACGGCCATGCACACGAACTGTGGAGAATGTGGTCGACCGATGGGCGGCAAGGTGGGCTGGTACTGCGACAAGTGCAAGTCCATGCAGTCGGCCAAGTGCTGCGTTTGTGGCCTAATCGTCCGTGGTCTTTACGCCTGGTGCCAGGGATGCTCCCATGGCGGCCACATCGAGCATCTACAGAAGTACTTCGCCAAGCACTCCAAGTGCCCCAAGTGTGGACACATGTGCTCGTACTCATGAGACGCGGAGGAGGCTGGGTTTACCCAGCTTCTGCCCCCGATTTGAGTCCCTTGTAGTTAGAAGAGACTTTTTCCCAATAAGTACCTTGCAAAAACACTTGAGAACCTTGTGTATACATGCATGTTACTCGATATTTCGAGCAGCATACTATTAGTTTTAAGCTTACTTACAGTTTGTGGAATAAAATCAATAAATTATGTATTTAAGAATAGTTAAAAATTAGCCAAAAACAAATTTAAAAAACTTGTATAATCACCATTTTTCTACACGTGTTTGTTACTTAAATATTTATAAATAATAATGCCAAATAAAAATGTTTTATTGTTGATCAATTGTCAAATTACTTTTATAGACTCAGAAAATAGTTTTTAATAAAAAAAAGGCTTTAAAATTGTGATTTAATTTGATCAATATGTTTAAAATATTCTTTAGTGTTTTCGCAGGTTCGTGTTGAGCTTAAGTCGCAGCTGTTAATTAGTTTTATGTTTAGTGTATTTATTTGAGTTTATGAAACTTAGTGCTACTTGATGAAGGTGCTTTTAAAAGGTAATATTACAACTACCTTTGAGTTGAGAGTTGAGCCGCACATTCAGTAGCAGAAAGGGGAGAAAAAATTATAAAATTGAGAGTTCTGTAGGGATTAAAAACAGAGAGCAACATATGTTGCGGTTGTCTTTAACTAAATAACTAATTGTATGTCCTCGCGGGTGGATGGAAATCACGGTCCCACAAGGACACCACCGCCTGCCAGCGCTGTCCAAAAATCCAAAATGCCCTCAGCGCAATGGAACTTTGGTAATGCCTTTGCATTATATTGTTTTTTTGTGAATCCAATTTTCTGTTTTTTTTGCATTGCGCTTCGCGCAGTTGTAGCCTTGAGTTGGGTTGTGCACCCACTCAAAGCTTGGACTTTGGAGCAGCGTTGGCGGCTAATTGTCAAGAGGCAAAATCGAGGCTCACAGTTTGGCAGGAGTCGCCCACTGTTCCACTGGAGCCGGCAGAGGTGGCATTCCGCTTGAGCGTTGGCCCCTCATCGTAACGAATGGTCATGGAGTTCGAGTTTCCGGGAATGGCCACATAGCCCAGCGACTCGTAGAACTTGATCAGCTTGTCCTTGCAGTCCAGCGACATTTTGTAGCAGCCCAATTCCTCGGCCAACAGGGATACAGTAACCACAATTCTGGAAGATATCTTAGATTAGTATTTCTTTTTTGGAGTTATCTATTCCAATCATGCTTACAGTTTGCCCAGTTGTTTGCCACGATATGTATCGTTTACCACCACATCCTCCAGACGACCACGCTGAAGAATAAACATTTAAGGATTTTAAATATATGGATAAACCATAGGTTTCTTTTCTTTAAAATTACCACAGCACAATTGTGGATGAACTTGCGCTCGATAACCAAGGATGCAGCTCCAATAATCTCATTCTTGCGAGTGTCCTCAATAACGGTCACAAAGTAATCACCACTGGCTTTCATCTGCGAAAAGCGGGCTAGAAAGGTATATTGTTAATGCCTTATTTTATCAAATAAGTTGTCATTATGGACTTACTCAAAAACTGAGTGCGATTCACATTGCCAACATGGGTGAGTTGAGAGAGCAGCTGTAGGAATCCCCGATCGTAGTCGCTGTCCTTGAGGGGACGCACTTTCATCCAGGGCTCGCCGGGATTAGCCGCCGATATGAAGGGCTTGAACTTGGCAGGGCTGCGATGAAAGTCCAGCTTTATCAGCAGACTGGGATCGTACAGATACGTCTCCTCCTTAAAGAGATTATGGTTTAGAGTAAGATAATTAAGATAATTAAGTTTTTAAAAATAAATCTTTTGACTTTTTTAAATGTCATTAGATTGAAATGAGGTAACAATGGATATTTAATAATTTTAGAGATAAGATTAGAAAATGTATATATATATTATTTTCAGTGATTTTATAGATTAAATAGCCCTAGATCTTTCAATAGGCTAAGCTCTAGTGAATACCGTAAATTGCACCATTTTCGCAGTGAACTACACACGTCAGCAAGTGACGCTGATGGAGGTAAAACTGAAGGTAAAACTCAGTCAACAGGTAAAAAATAAGGTGGAGACGGAGTCGCGATAACAGGAATGGTAACAAGAACTGGTTTCTTGCACCCAACACTTTCGATTCGATGGTCGCCGACTGGTTTTGTCTCATTTAATATACATCATTTGTTTTCTATTTTTGGCGCATAAATTAAATAGTACGCGCAAACCGGTAAAGTGCGTAAAAGACCGTCTACTAGTATTGATTTAGTTTGTTGTGGTCACTGCCAGGATTAAGACTAACAACGTGTGCTCAAGGTCGCGGCGACTGAACTGCCACATGGTCACGCTTTTTCTAGCTTTTCCCCACGCTTTTACAAAGGTTTTTCTAGCTGGAGGAGTTTATTTTGCTTGCCACTTTAGTTAGAAAACCACTTACCATGATTTTATCTAATGTCTGATAATGATAGTGAAGCACCACAGTTAGCAATGTCTCCCGCGACGAATCTCAAAAACTAAAGCGGAAGTTTTCCGGCAGCTTTTTTATCGGTCGAAGTTTCTGAGCAGACTGAGCGGAAAACACAAGCCGCGCAATTCACACAAAATACAGAAAGCCGAGCGCTAATTGGCAGTCGTGGAGAGGCTAAAATACCTCTGGAAAAGGAATAAAAACTGCAATTTCAACGCTTAAATGACCCTGAAGATTCGACGTTGTGAATGTAAACATTTAAACAGCTGATTGCAAAGAGAAAGGTGTTGCAAAGAAAGATACCGAGAGAGAGAGCAGAGAGATAAGAAGAGCGTAAAACCAGCTGAGTAAGGAGTAGCTACTGACTAAAATGAAAATTATAGAATCCAGGAATAGATAATTAAAGTTATTTTGATACGTCGTTGAAGTTAAATCCAAATTCTTTTAAAATAAAAAATAATTACAAATTGTAATAATAACTTGTTACTTATTCTACAAAATAAAGTCGAAAAAAATCATTTTTTTTCAAGGCGAATAATAACCGTACTATCAAATGTCGCTTGTTAACCAATCTTTACTGTTCTTCGTACGTATTCTACAATTAAATAACACTGCCGCAACGTAAGCGTTACGTTACGTGGCCACAATATATTTGGGTGTCTGGTACATCTCGTAGGCGAACTCCTCGCGATGACTTGGATCGTACTCCAAGCCCACATATTCTATCTCGAGGCCGAATGGACCATCCATCCCCTTTTTGGCGGCCACGGAGAATCCAAAGTGGGTCACCCTATTCAGCGGTATGGCTCCCTGGCGATCCTGTACCCGTCCCTTCGAGGAGAGAAAGAACTTGGAGAAGGGAATCTTGGCGATCTGCCAGTGGGGTCCACCGCGAGTATACAAAACGTAGTGGTAGATGTCATTCCACATCAGATCGAAGTAGCCCTCGGTGTGCAGATTGATCAGGTAGCTGCGTCCATCGCCTCGGACTTTCATGATCAGCATGTTGTACTGCGTCCAGTCGTAGGTGGACTCGCGCTTGAAGGATTTCTAAGGGGAGGGATAAATATACACTATTAATATCGAGATAATGACTTAAAACTCCATAGATAACCCACCCGCACTCTCTTGGTGCGTATATTAGCATATCCCGTCCTCTTGATGATTCCATCCTTAATGTGATCCGAGTTGACTTCCCCATGGAAGAGCCCCGCTCCGGCTGCACTTAGCTCCAGGGTGGCAGTACTCTTGCCCTCGCCGTGATCCGCATCCGTGGTCACCGTCCACTTGTCCAGCACATCCGGCGCCTTGAAATCGAACACCACATCCGTTTCGCCAGGACGGAAGACCAGGATGGGGTCACTTTCCAGCTGCTCCTTGACCTCCTGGCGCCACAGCTTCATCTCCTCCTTCAGATCTCTCAATCCGTCCAAGATGAGCTGTTTTTTCGAGGGCTCCGGCAATTTGGTCTTGTAGCCGGACTTCTTTTCGCGCTCCCAGAAAGTCCTATGCACGGCGGTTGTGTGGATTTGCTGCTGGACAGCCGGCAGACAGCAGCCAAGGCGATGTCCTTGTCGCAGGAGGCTATTCATCTTGGCATTTGCTTAATTTTCATAAAATTTTATAGCACTAGGTGCCTTTGCAGCAAAACAACGTAACAAAAATCAGCTGTTCTTAGTTGGCATTCGCAATGAAGCGCGCACACAGCTGATCCGTACAGTAATTACTGGGATAATAACTAGGCACTAACAAATTGTCACTTAAGAAATATAAAATGTTATGGGCACTAAATAAACAAAAGCTGTATTTACAATTTATATTTAAATACAATAAATATGTTTTGTTTTACTATTTGGTGAATAGCACTTAATTTGCATATTCGTAAGCAATGAATCGATGTTCTTCCTAACTATGCTTTACTGTACTCCATTTCCCAGTGAATGACAGTTGTCGTTTTGTTTTCATTGCTAATCATTTTGCATTTGGAAAAAGAGTTCAAAGGTTTTTAGTTGCATCAGATTAAAAGTATGAAAGTGCAGGACCTGGACAAATGTGCTCCCAGCAGCGACTGGAACGTACTTTACTGGGTGCTGGGAACGATCCTGATGCCGGTGGCCCTTCCATTGGCTCTCTTCAACATTTGGAAGCGACTTAAGGCACAAAAATACCGGAATCAACTGCCCGCCAAGGTAATTCTCTAAATCTTAATCAATAAAGCCGGTAAATTATGTAAACCATTTACAGGTGGTGCTTATAACAGGTGCTAGTTCGGGTTTGGGTGAATCTCTGGCCCACGTCTTCTACCGGGCTGGATGCAAGGTGATTTTGGCGGCACGACGAACTCAGGAATTGGAGCGAGTTAAAAAGGATCTTCTTGCACTGGATGTGGTAATGTCTAGCTTCATATTTAAATATTTTGAATTTAACTGCACTTATAGACATTCTTATGTTAAATTCCCTTAAAGCTAAAATTTTCAATTCCTTTAAATGAAGTGTAAATGCAAATGATAAAAACCCTTAACCATCACCATAATCCTTCGCAGGACCCCGCATATCCACCCACTGTGTTGGCCCTTGATCTGGCTGAATTGAATTCCATTCCAGAGTTTGTCAGCCGTGTTTTGGCCGTTTATAATCAGGTGGACATTCTGATCAACAATGGTGGAATCAGTGTACGAGCGGATGTGGCATCCACAGCAGTGGATGTGGATCTCAAGGTGATGGTGGTCAACTATTTCGGCAGCGTGGCCCTAACTAAAGGTGAACTATACCCCGTTTTGCACAGAAAATTGAATAAACTTGTTTTTTTCTTAGCTTTGCTTCCTTCGATGGTAAAACGTGGTAGTGGCCACATATGCTTCGTTAGCTCTGTTCAGGGAAAATTTGCAATTCCCCAGAGGGCCGCCTATTCTGCCTCGAAGCATGCCATGCAGGCTTTTGCCGATTCTTTGCGAGCGGAAGTGGCCAACAAGAACATAAACGTGTCCTGCGTGAGTCCCGGCTATATACGCACTCAGCTCTCACTAAATGCTTTAACAGGATCAGGAAGCAGCTATGGAAGTTAGTAAATTGGCTGGTTTTCATCTGGTTTTCACCTCAATATTTTTTGAAAATAATATTTATACCCCCTCTAGAAATGGACGAAACCACGGCTAAGGGCATGTCCCCTGATAAACTAGCAGAACGTATTCTGCAATGCATTCTCCGCAAAGAACCCGATATAATTGTCAGCGACGTTCAGGCAAAGATTGCCTATTACCTTCGTCATCTTTGCCCAAGCCTTTACTTTTGGATCATGGCAAAGCGCGCCTCGAAGCTGGAGAAAGCTGAAAAGAAGTCCACTTAAAGTTAGTTCATGTCACGTAGAACTTCCATAAGTATTAGTTTCGTTTTTATTGTTAATTGAATTTTGCTTAAAATGAGGAAATTATAAAGTATCGCATATGTGTGTGTGTGTTCGGGTTAAAAATTAGTTACACTCGTGTGTGTTATTGCCTAACAATAAGATTAATAAATAAAGTATTGTAGTAATCGTAACATAAAGTACAACTGAATTGTCACACATGTGCTTTTTGTTCGCTAATCATAATACATACGTTAATTATTGTTTTGAATTGTCTTTAAAATATTAATTCGTAAAATGCTAGTATTCACTTCTTTGCTCTTCGGTTTTTGTTTTCTTTTGTTCGTTTCATTTCGTTTTTTATTCTTTCGACTTCTTAGAGACATTTACGCGTTCTTAATTGACAAAATTACATATGATTTTATGTAGGTTGTTGGATGGGTGATGCGGTCTTGGACAACATTTAAAACTGGCCATTTACTAGGGGTAGGCGATGGTTTCGTGGGGGATCGGGAGACGTAAATACGTGTTTATAATTCATTTAGCTAAATTATAAAAATAGCATTAATCCATCTCGTGAAAAGTATAAAAATTAATTACAATTGAGGTACACAATACACATACAGATTTAAAAATCGTTTGCAGTTTTACAATTACATTAATATTTATGTATATTTAGATTAAAATCAATCGGTTTCTTATATACATTACACAAAAATTGTTCATTTCGCGCTAAATAGTCTTTTTGTCACGCTCAAAATACTCTCGTCCATTCATCTTAGACAATAATCATTTGCATTTAATTATATACAGTACACAAACATTGGCAATATTCAAAATGTTCTCTTAATCATCTCATTAAGTACACTGGGAAATAGAATTTGATCTTTAAAAACGCACAGGATGGGAGTAGTTGTTCCTTGAAGTTTTGATTCTCCAATTGAGCTTAAGTGGTTGAAAAATCATGCCAATATTTGGCTTAAAATTATGGAAAATTATTGGGCACACATACTCCCATTCCGATGTATTTTTGATGCTTCCTAGTGCTATCCTTTTTTGGTAAGTGTTTTTTTTTGCCTGTCATTATTTTGTATAGTTTCGTATTGAAATATGTAGTCAAGACAAAGTAGAAACTAAACTTCAATTCGATTCTCGGGCTTACCAATATTTTTTGTTTGTTTTTATGTTAAGCATTTCAAAGCGATTGTCGCGTACTCGTTTTAACTATTTCCGTTCTCCGTTTCATTACTGGCCAACGCGTTAACTGTCTGTCTGTCAATATTCGATATTTTGGGTCGGCTGTCGGTTTCTTGAGCTGAGCTTATGTCTTCTATCTTGTATGTTGTATGTTGTATCTTGTATATTCCACAAAAATATACCCAAATGCTCATAAAGTTGCAATGGTTATTGCACGCCCCATATGGATGTATGTATATATATTTTTGATACGCCTTTGATTTCCTACACATTCATATAGCTACAAATATCAATCGTTATCCTTAGCCTAAAGATCGTTATTGTTGGGGTGTTAGGTGTTAGTGTGTAACTTGAAAGCCGCCGCTCAGTGATTCGATTCGGAATGTGACTCTATATCCTACGTATGTATGAATATCGTTAGGTGCCTCATTATTGTTTGTTCGCATTGCTCTAACTTGGTATTGCATATAAAAACTATGTCCATTCGATATTCTATGTACACTACAGACTACGGAATTGCAGGTCTTACTATGGGATCGATGCTTGTTTACAGGTGCCGGTGCTTCAGGGGATCGGGTGGATTAATGTTAAAGTCTGGGTGGCTAACTTTCTATGTGGCCTTGCTGCTGGGCATTTTCTAAAACCTACTTTCGATGCATTATGCTTTTGATTTATTGACAGTATCGTTGGTTAATCTTTGTATCTATTCCGTACAACTATTTGCAACTTTCCCCGGCTCCCTTTTTTTTTTTTTTTCTATTTTCCATATATCCTACTTCGTGGACTACACCAACCTCAATCCTTTCTTATCTAAGTTTTGATCTTGAGAAAATATGCAAAGGATTTTTGAAATGTTCTCGGCTAATATTTTATCGTTTTAGTTCTTTACTAAAATAGCACCTTGTATTGTTCTGTATGTCGTCGTAGTTCAGATGAGTAGTGATCGTTGTTCGAAACTTGAAGCGCAGGCAAACTAAGCAATATAAGTATTTAGTAGGTACATAACAATTTCAGTAATACTGTTTTGAAATTAACTTGAAATATAGGCCAAGTTTAGGCAAATATAAGGAGTGGGTGTATAATCAGTTATTCCATTTCGATTGCGTTCTTTTAAGGATTATGAAATTGGAAAATTGTATGATTGAAATGGTAGTTACTTTAACATTTTAAAGTAAAGCTCATTTAGTTTTGATCTAATAAAAACCAATCGAAAAAGAATAACTGAGCATACACACCTGTTGCCAGTTGCAAATTCGATCAAATAGGAAAGGCTATATAACATCATTGATCTTTAACCTTTGATTGTAAATTGAATTTAAGTGGCTTGAAAATTTTTTGGACCTGCACGCAATTTTAAATGTTAAATTTTTATACTATGTTATTTCAATAAAATCGCCTAATTTGATCGAATCTGGAAACCGGAATTGACTGGATTTATAAAATTCTAGTTTACACAATACAATACAATACAATACAAACAGTAAACAGTAGAAGGTACAAAGTGCGGCTGGCGGTTTGGATTGCGGTGGCTTCAGTGGGTGAGGATTTGAGTGGGCTAGCTAGTGCTTCAATGGGCGGCTTAAAGGGGTGGTGATGCACGGGCGAGCCTTGGTCGGGGGGGATTTATGGGCGTGTGGAATGCGTTCGAGTGTCTGTTGTTCGTGTGTGAGTGGGCGTGGTTTTTCACATATTCAGCAGAAACGGCAAGTTTAAGGCAGTGTAAAGTACACATATATATAATGTATGTACAAATATATATATATGTATGCAAGTAAACCTATGCGACAATTTGTATAACTAACATTAAGACTTATCACTTTCACTTGGTTGGTTTTGGAAACTGGAACGGGAGAGCAGCCCCTAGCTAACCAGGTTCTCCACATCGGAAACGACTATCTCCAGATCAGAGGGCAGCTCATTGTTCTCGGTTGTTTTTGCTGCTGCAGGTGTTGCTCCTGCTGCTCCTGGTTTTCCAGTTGCTGCTGCTCCAGCTGTGCCCGTGGAGCGGGTCCTGAAGTTATTTAGACTTCTCCGAATGGGCTGCGTGGGTGGTTGACGCTGCATGGCGCTCGTGGAGGCAGATTGCTGCAGCACCACACCTGGCGTAATGGAGGAGCTACTGGTGGCCGTGCTGCTGGAAGATTGGCGAGAGAAACTGGGCGGCGGCGCCCCAGTGTTTGCGCTGGCATTGCTGCCGCCTCCTCCCAAACTGGCCCTTGGAATGTTGCTGAAGCTATTCCGAGAGTTCCTGGTCGGCGGAACGGGCACTGCCTTCGCGGAGGACACACTGCTGTCCCTGCGAAGATTGGCATTCGACGTGGAACGTCTCTGTGGCGAGGCAGCTGCCATAGATGGCGGATCCTTCCCGCTTCTCGTGGCTCCACTGCCACTGGCCTTCAGGTTCAGACTGCTGCGCTTCTTTGTTTTGGCCAGATTCTGGCTAAGGTTGATCAAATTCTGCGTGCTACCAAAGTTTCGCGTGAGATTCACCGATCCACTGGCCTTGCTGCTGCTTCGGCGAGGAGCTGCCGCAAAGGGATTGTGGGTGGACAGGGAGTTGGACCTGCGATAGGAGTTCTTCGGCGCCGAAGCGACTGGAGCAGGAGGTGCTGCCTCCAAGCTGGCTCTGTTCTGTGAGCTGCTGGGAGCCACCTTGCTGCTGCTGCTCGGCTTTGAACTGGAGGCCTCTGCCTGCATGTCCACATTCTCGTAGCAATGCTCCATGGAACGAGGCGGTGTTGGCGGCTTCAAGGTCTCGTAGTTCGGTTCGTTGAGGGTGAGGATCTGGTTATCATCCTCCGCCTCGTTGCACAGCAAAAGGGCACTTCTCTTGGCGCGCGTGGACACATCCTTCGAGGAGGATTGGCCAGCAGTTCGGTTACTAGCCTTTTGGCCTCTTTTTGGCCTCACTCCTCCGCCCACCACATGTGTTTTCACCTTTGGCTTCTTGGACAATCTTAGAGAGAACTTGAAGGGCGGCTTGTAGACCACCTGCAGTTTGACTTTCTCGTTGGACAGATTACCCATGGACTTGGTCTTCTGCGGCGTCTTCTGCACCAGTCTCTCTGGCGTGGATTGCGATTTGCTCATAACCTTGCGCACCCGAGAACTGTGCTCGATGTGCGACAATGGTTGGGCCACAATGGGCGACTCCAGCAGCCACTTTTGCACCTTGCCAAAGGTGTTCGTATGGTTGTTGGTGGTCGAAAGATTGGAGGCATCATCCCCGTTGTTGTTGCGATGCGAGTAGTCGATGATCTCCTTCATGTGCTTGCCCAGCTTTTTGTTCGATTTCTTGGGCTCCTCCTCGAGGGATTTCTTCTTGGCCATGGCTTGGTTTCTGGTGGTCTTCTTGGTCTCTGGATTGGCACTGCTTTTGGATGCACTCCGGGATGCAACTGCAGCTGTGGCTGTTACGCCAGGTCCAGCTTGAGTCACCGTTCCCGTTCCCGGTTTCTTGCTTCGCTCGCCACGTACCTTCTTTTTAAAGGGCACCTTTGTCCTTACGGCTGTGTGCACTATTACCCCGTTGTTGTTCTCCGGCAGACGCACTGTCTCCGTGGTGGCACTGTGTATGATGGTGACGGACTTAAGCTTCAGATTCGACCGTTTCGCCAGCAGCTTTGTGCTCAGCGCCTAAGGAAAAAAATTTCAGATGTTAAAAAGGAAGTCAAATCTGAACTAAAGTTAACACAAAGGTAAAATACAGAAAATGTGAATGTTTCAATGACTTCTAGTCTAAATTTGCCCTCAATTTAGCCACAGGGGCAACTGCTAGATGAGTGTTTTCCATATACTCTACAGGATTACTTTTGGGCCCACTGGGAAACTGAGTGCTCACCCAAGGTCTGAGCCCTTGCTTGCGCTTTGGCCTCGACCTGATCCCTTAACATTTGCGTGATTAGTTTCATTAACTTTTCAAACCAAAGAATATTTAATAATGAACTCAAGAACTTCTTTACTTTTATGAATCCAATAACTTACCAGGAGCAGAATTACACCAACGGCAGCCAGAGCTACTGTGTACCAGTTGTGCTGCATCCACTTCTTAAAGGTGGCTATGCTCTCCTCGGAGAGCAGGAGCTTACGCAATGTGGCCAATGGACCAGAGGGATCAACCTCCCTGCACTTTTGGAAGACATCACAGTAGCTGAAAAGAAAAATGAATATATTTTAATTAAAAGAGATAAATTAAGAAGGAAGTTTTATAAAAAGTATAGTAAACGAACCCATTATAATCATTACAAGGCGTTCCTGGCTTCGAGTACATATCGGGGACATCGAAGGGAGCCTCATTCCACTCGAAGGAACTTCGGCAGGGACTATCCTCCCCTGGCAGCTTGCAGCACAGTTCGCACGACTTGATCCGATCATCCTGGGGTCCCGGAATACACTGACACGATTCCAGACCGTAGGCCAAGCAAATACTGCCCGTGCAGTCGCCCATGTAGCAGACGAACTCCTTGTTGCAGATGGTCTTGTTAGGCTTGTTTACCGACGGAGGACATTGGGGCACCCGTCCGTCGCAGAAGGAGGGATCCCTGCAGCCATTATCATCCCGACACTTGTCACCGAACTTCAGCTTGCAGTCGGTGGTGCAGCACGGGCCTTGCGAAGGACTACATCGGGCGTGAGGCGTCAGCGTGCAGGGAGTCTCATCTAGACGCGGTTGCCTTGACATAGGAAAGCAGCACGAGTCCTTGCAGTCCTCCTCCCACCCACAGTCGCACTGCTCACCCGGCTCCACCACGCCATTGCCACAAATCGAGGACTGCGGCTCTGTGAAGCATCCCTTCATGGAACGTGCCTTGGCATTCAGCACTGGTTCTATTGATTTCAGCGAACAGGTGCTGAACTTATTGTTGTTCTTTTTGTCACCCGAAGTGGCACGGGCAAACATGATGAAGTTTCCATCCTCGCCACCAGGAGTACACTGCTCTGGGTCATGCTAAAATCGAACAAAATTACTTTGTTAAATTTGCATTATTACATATTTTGTAACTCTTACCGGTGATCCAAAGTTGTGGCCAATTTCATGGGCCAATGTCACATGGGACACTGCAGGTGGAACATGCTTTCCATAGTTCAACAGAGTGACTATCCCCGTATTGAGGGACTTTAGCGAACCCCTATAATGGCCATTCTTCTCGCAAACTCCGCCAGCGTTCTTCAGATCACCCGTCCAGGCCAATCCCAAAGTTCCCATCTCGAAGTCACGATAGGTGAACATGTAGGCCAAGCAAAAGGCATCATAGTCCTCCTCTGTAAAATAAATTAATGTACAAGATTATCAATTTCGACAACCAAAACCACTTAATTAAAGTATAAAAAAATCATTTCTCAATGACAAATTTTTAAGGGTAAGTGAACTTAACTACCAGGTAGAAACAGTTTTGCATTGGTGTTCTAATTGATTTGTATTACTTTACAAGTGTGTAAATTTTTTCAAAGATTTTAACCTTAAAAAAATGAATTGAACATGCACATAAATATAATTGATTGTTAATTAATCAACAGAGACAGTCACAGCAATAAATTTATTACAAAGAGAAGAAGACTTTAAAAAAGTCGTTTTGCCAAATTTGAATTTATATCTTACCCGAAAACAATTCCAGAAACTTTTCCACACCATAGTTGCCGGGGAATCGGTAGCTGGGATCCTTCATTGCGTTCATGTTGTGCACCTTGATGCGCTTGATCATGAACGTGATGTTATCTGGTTTTCCATCGTTGTTGAAGTCCGTATTCCGGTAGATCGTATTGGCCCGCTGCACATGCCGTGTGATAGCTTCTATGGACGCTTCATCCGAACCCATTTTCTGGAAGAACGTGTGATCCGCCTGCAGATACAACATGCAGGTAGTCTTGCGATCGTAGAGCAGCCTTGGAGAACTATGGATATCGTCGCCGCCCCTTCCGCTCAGCAGATTCGTCATTAACATGCTGTTGAAACTGGGGTTGTGCGGATTGGGGGCGAATATGATCTCCGGATTGTAGTTATTCACAATGATATTTGGCTTCTTGGTCGCTCCGTTCTTGGTGATGATCTCCACATGCGTTTTATGGCTGGGGCGGTCGTTGCCATTGTTGTTATTTCCCAGAAAGAGCGTTGTCCAGTTGGCATTGAAGAAGTTACTGGGCAGGTCACGGGTACCATTGTTATTCGGTTCCTCGTAGGGCGTTCCAAATTCCGGTTCGATGGGTCGATTGTACGTGCTCACAATAATGTTCTTGTGTTTCGTGTACAACTTCCGCACATTGTTATTACTATTATTGTTGTTATTATTATTATTATTATTATTATTGCTGTTGGCATTGCTGTTGCTGTTGCTGTTGCTATAGCTGCGACTTCCCTCGCCGACATTGGAGGGATTGTAGTTATTTACAAGTATGTTGCGGTTCGACGTGGGCTTAGTCAGCGTGGCCAGGAAACTCTCCGTGCTGCGCACAGTGCTCCTGGTCGTGGATGTACTGGGGTGGTACTTCCTCGGTGACTCCTCGCTCTTGTCCTCCTCGGAGGCCAGGACGCGGAAGTCGTCGTTGTAGGGCACCTCCAAATCCAGCGGCAGGGGCGGATTGCGATTGTACGTTGGCGCTGGAGCATCCGACATGGCCAGCTGAAAGGGTTAAAATCGAACAAAAGAAATATTCATTAAATTATTTCATATTATAAATCTTATATAATTAATCAAAAAGCGTTTTGAGAAAAAACTGATTTATTTTTGGTTTTTGTTATTGCCTCCTTAAAAAAATATGGCTATGAAGCTATATATATATTAGTTTAAGATTTTTAAATTTATATTTTTATTTACCCAACATCCCAAAAACTCACCTCCTCTGGCAGCCAGCGCTTCTTCCTCAGCTTCTCGCTGGCGCAGTGCGTCTTGGCGGGTGCCGCGGAGTTGAGTCCACCGCCGGTGAACTGCTCCTTCTGCATATTTACATCACTTAACTTATAGACTATGCTGTGGACACCGCTCTCGGCCAGCTGCTGGGAATAGCGCTGCGCCGGCTCGATGTAGTAGTGCTCCGCCTGGGTCTCTATCGTCCCGTCCAGCAGGTTGTCGCTGGTGAGGATCGCCTGGACATGGGCCGCCTCGTCATCCTCCAGGCTGCCGGTGTAGATGCGCGACACATCGTAGTCGATGGGACCCAGAGTGTTCTCGATCTCCACGTCGTGGGCGAACACCGAATGCGGCTGTTGACGCAGCACCAGGCGAAAATCTCTGGAGTGTCGAAGGTGATTAAGTGATTATTTGTAAGATGACTGCGATTGCGATGGCGAATCTCGAGTGCACTCACCTGTCGTGGGCGGAGAAATTCAGACGGATGGTGTGCGCCAGTCCACTCGGTGTGGCATCGGCTTTTACCTCTGCTTCAGGCCTCACCTGTCGCTTCTGCCGGAAGCGAGCCTGCTCCAGGTGCCTGACCTGCGCCGCCTGCAGCACCCCGCGATCAAAGTTCGCCGCCTCCCAGTGCTTGATGTAGGGCGTCAGCCTGTGGGTGTAGCCTGAAAAGAAGAAAGGGGCATCTGTATAGCGGAGGAAGGAGAAAGCTGCCGGCGGTGATGGCAAGATGAAATTTCTCTTAACTATGTGTTAAAATATAATTGAAAGATACCCGTATGGTAAGTAATAGAAAGCAATAAGACCATAAGGTTTAATGAATTAAATAAGATATATATATATAAACACTAATATAATATTTTCTCACTTAAAATATTTCTTTTTGGCAATAAATAAATAATAATAAATAATGTGAACTGAAAATTTAAAATGTTCTACAAATGTTCACTTTTAATTACTTTCACAAAATACATACATATGTATTTTAAAACAAATAAATATTGAAATACATTTTTGTATTCAGTAAAAGTTTCAGATAAAATGTGCTAAGAAATATATTCTTTAAAAAAAATAAAAGACATTTGAGCATTTTCAATATTTTGGCACTTAAAAAAATGTATTTAAAATCTCTTTTCAAGGCTCAAAAGTTTTCAATGGCAAGTTTTTGTTGATAATGCACATGATTGTTTTTGTTTTGGAATCGCCCCGACTCACCTGGCAACTTGAGCGGCGTGGGTATGGCCAGGATCTCGCCGGGCAGCCACAGGAGCCAGAGGAACAGGATCTGCAGCCCCAGGAGGCCCAGCAGCCAGCTCATCGTGGATTTGGTCCGGACTCGATTCCGGGTGATTGTGGGTGGCCTAAACTACTTGAAGGTTGTGTTTTCCGAACTCAACCCAGGCTGCTGCATCACATCATTGGCGCTGGTTATTTGTTATTGTTGTGGGACTCGCTGCGCGGAAGTGGCTTCAATCGGTGACATCTTCGCTGGAAGAATGGGTAATGGAATAGTTTGGAGTGTGGAATCCAGAACGGAGAGTCGAGTCGAGAACGGAAACTGTTATGATCGCGAGGTGATTGCATTAACGGTCCGGGGCACAAAGAAACTGCATTGCGTATACGGCGGATTACCGAGTGGCTTTCACCTTTTACGCGAGATCTTTTGTTCAAGCTCGAAAATTTTTACTTTTTTTTTTTGCGTGTTTTTGCATAAATGGCAAAAGCAACAAACGGCGAGAAGAAGAGGAAGAGCGTCACAGCATCTCATTAGCACTTAACACATACACAAACACATACACACGAGAAACAAGGGTATTGGTGTGCCCGTGAAAAATACTGTTAGTTTGGCGCTCTCATTGGCCTCTCTTTCTCACCTTGTTGGCCAATGAAATTAAATGCATTCTTTGACAACCGTTTAATTGAATAATTATTGTTTTTGCCCAGCATGCGTAAGCGTGTGTGTGTGTGTGTGTGTATTCTACTCGAGCTTAACTTGGCCCAAAAGAAACCCCCTCTCTTTTCACCACTCTTCTCTCTCTTTCTACTCGCTGCTCGCTGTTGTTGTTGCGCTGGTCCCAAACCAAAACCAAAATACAAGTACAATTCAATTAGCCACAAATTGTTGCACTCTTTTTTTCTGTTTGTGATAATTGGATTTGCGGAATATAGCCAAATATAACACACACACTTAGAAAACAATCGACCTCCGTTAATGGCGTAAATGGTATAAGCCAGTCGCAAGTTTTTTGCTTTTTTTCGTTGTTGCCACGGCCTAAAACCTGTTCTTCTGCCCAATCATCCAGGCCTAAATCGGTTGGATTTCGATTTCCCGTGCCATTTTTGGCCTCACTTGTTAGTGGTTTAACTTTGATTTATTTATTTGCTTATCTGCTTACTTTTCACAGTCACTGAAGCACTTGCATTACCAATCGTTTTTCTGCGCTTTTAACAACTTTTTTTCGACCACCATCCACCAAGCAGTGTGACCGCACGTCGAATTGACCGTTAAAATGTCGGGCTCAGAATAAATATACTGTGCGCTGAGAAGATACCGTAAATATACTTTAAGCTGAAGTTTTACCCTAGACTCGAACCATTTAACAGTGGCCCAAAAAAAAAAAACTAAAAGATAAGAAAATAACAATATATTAAACTAAATCAGATTCTTTTAAGCTAAAGCCAATGAATGTTCAAAATAAATACAACTCAATGAATAATCCCCTGATCCGATTCATATAAAATGACAATCTTTGCTGGTAGAAAATTATACACTGTTTACTGGTAAAATTATTTGTTTATATACTTGTATCATTATAAACATTTATTTATTAATGGATATTAATAAGTTAGCATTTAAGAGCTTCTTTGGCCAACGCCTGTTGCTTTTTGATGCCCTCCCTCAATTTATCAGCATTCTTTTCCAATTTGGCGTAGCATTCTTTGAGTTGATTTCTTTGTGTTTCTAGATTTTCCTCGGTGGCCGATAGCTTCTTGACTTTCTGATCGTATTCATCGAAAACTTGCCACCAAGTTGAAAGACTGAGATTTTCCGGTTCCGTGAGAATAGCGTGCTCCAGCTCGGAATTATCCGAGAAAGTGCTTGTGGGTTGATTGACCTCAAAGGTTTCCATGTCCGCCAGCATTTCCTCAATACTTGGAGCCGTGGGTGGGGGCTCAATTTTGGGTTTGGATTTTTTGAACATTCTGTTTTTGAACTTAAAATCTGATTTTAAAATCAGCAAAATGAGAACGTCAGCACTTGTTTAGTAAAAGGTTTGAAAGGTAGTTACCTGTTCTGTTTTAGAGGTTTAGTTGAAGTTCGATTTGAAATAAATTTTTCTGCAATTTATTTAGCTTAAATTGGAAAGTGTTCATCAATTTATTAAGCTTAAATTGGTAAATTTTCTGCTATTGTTTACAAATAAAACAAATGATAAATAATAAAGTGACCAACATTCATACCCTTCAAAATACAAACTATCGCCCAGGCTCAATAAATATCGATGTATTCGATAGTGCCATCGATGTTAATCGATGTCGCTTTTTTGTTTACCCTGATTTACCATCTCTACTTTGGGCGCTATAATATTGCATGTTTTTTATTCTTGTGAATAATAAAGGCAAGAATGTCGAATAAAGATGAACTTAGTCAAGGAGCCAAGCAGAGATTTGTGGAGACCGCAGCCAGGGCCAAAAATCCATTGGAATCTCTAAACTATCAAAGCTACAAGGCTCCCAGCGGAGAAGAATTCAAACTAATTTGCCGTACTAAGACGGATGCGGATACAAAGTTGCTCAAATGGGCATTTAAACTGGCGGAAATCAACGTGGGACCTCACTACAAAGAACTCAAGATGGGGTGGCAGCCAAAGATTAAATCCGCAGAGTTGAACAAGAACTGGGCTCGTTATTTGGTGGCCCAAAACGAGAAAAAGGAGAATGTGGCCTACGCCATGTTTCGGTTTGATATGGATCACGGAGATTGTGTTTTATATTGGTAACTATATTAGAAGAATACAATTAAAGCTACTTTATAATTTGAAACCCCTTTTGCAGCTACGAAATGCAAGTGGCAGCGGAGTACCGAAGGAAAGGACTGGGAAAATTCATCATGAGCATTCTGGAAGACTGCGCCCGCCTTTGGCACCTGGAAAAGGTTATGCTGACTGTGCTGAACAACAACGAACCATCCATTTCATTTTTCAACCAACTGGGCTACGTCAAGGATGAGATCTCCCCAGATGTCCTGGAACAAGCCGACTATCAAATCCTAAGCAAATCCATGCTGAGCTGAGTGTTTATTGGACTCCAGAGATTATAGACAAAACTAGCAACTAGTATAACAATGCGTTTATTTCAACAAATTGGCCGTGGTCTCCAGGTGATTGGCCATGCGAATGTCCTGCGAACTGAGACCTCCAACATCGTGGGTGGACAGAGTGACGTCCACCTTATTGTAGCAGTTAAACCACTCGGGATGATGGTTGATCTTCTCAGCCAGCAGGGCCACTCCCGTCATGAAGCTGAAGGCTTGGTTGAAGTCCTTCAGGATGAACTGCTTGAAGATGGCATCGCGGCCCTCCACCAAAGTCCAGCCGGCTTCAAGAAGGGGCTGCAGTTTCTCAGCACGCTCCTGTTCGTTTAGTCGCACCTGAAAACAATCCAGAAGTAGGTAAGTCACGATCAAGTTTGGGATCTATTTTATAGGGGATATTAATGACCTCAGGGCAATTCTTCTTAATCGGTCCGGTTTATTACAATATATTTGATAACAACAAAGGTTTACGTGGGTTAAGCGATATCCTTAAGTACTTAAATACATATACTTTAATAGTTTAGCTTTTAGGTATATAGGCAGATCTGTTTTTAATACTTTTTCAAGACTATCTTAAACCAGAGTACATTCATTTATGGGAAATGTAGTAATGAACAAATATTGGCTACTATATTATTTTAGTTTAGTTGTCTTTACAGGAACAACTTATACCACATTTCAGCACAGAAAAGAATAACTTTTAAAGAAATTTCAGTTATAAAAAGAATAAGCATGTGTTTTGATCTGTAATGCGAGTAAAACTGGTTCCACATCTGTGGAATTTAGGTTGGGGGAACTTTTAGTGTAATTTGAGACATTTGTATGTATTTTTAGCTAAATAAGTTGGAGCAGCAAGCTCCAGCCCAAATTCGTAGTACCCCTTCAGTTTTAGGGTAGAAAAACACTAGCTTAAAGTCTTAACTCGGCCTTGGGGGTACGTTAATATTTCGAGGTGATAAGAATACCTCTCGATTTCGCTTAGATTCATTGCCCTTGATCTGTAAATCAAATTTTGTTAGTACTTACCACCATTTTGCGTTTTTTCGATGTGCTTGCTGGGGCCTGAGTGTGTTCGGTGCCGTAGAATCGCCGGAAATTTGAGCTGTTTGAGCTGCCACCAGTTGCTACTTTTCTCGCTGCTGGCGAATACAGAACTGAGATTTGCGAAACGCTGCGCGAAAAAATAAAGCTCAGTTTTCGGTCGGCACTTGAACTTCCCTTTTCAGCCCGCTCCCCCGCCTTCACCCACTTGCTGCCACTCGCTGCTGTTGTTGCAATGCTGTGGGATAAACCAGATTTAAGGCGATTGCCAAGCAGATTGGCCACTTTCTGAAACTCTGGCTTAATCACATTCTGAGCGCATTTAATTGTTAATAACATTTTTGGTTTAAAACTTGTTTGTTTGTTGTTTTTGGTGTCGGCGAAAAACAGCTGATTTGAGATTTATGTTAACTTAACAGCGTCTTAACATAGACGTATCGACTTATAAGGAATACAGTTTCGTAAAAAGGCTATGGTCACACTTGCTTTTAAATGCTAAATTCAAATTTTATAGCCATTCCCCTTGTTTTTACCAAATAATAGAGTATAACAAAAATAATGAAAGCAGGGAAAAAAAGAGGGTAACTTCAGCAAGGAAACTATCAAAACTGATACGTAATTTTCTCGAAAACTGTGGTCAGAAAAACGAGGTACAATATTAAAGATTGGAAACAATTCTAATTTTTATTTTTCGCATAATTTTAAAATGGAATACTTTAAAATATATAATAATATAAATCTGATTATTTAGTTGCATCCTCTGATTAAAGTATAGCTTCGGAGTTCTCCACTCACTTTACAAGGATTTCAATACCGCTTTGACTAATCAATGATTTGTTTGAAGAAGTATATTTATATATAGTTATATATTTCGTTGTTAATTTCCTAGCAATTACTTGTGTACCACATTTTCGGCCTCACCATTGCCATAATAATCGTAGTCCGCGTTGGCAGTTGAGGTGGCCAACTTGGGATGATCGGTGGTGGTGGTGGTGGTGACTGCGTTATTGACCGATCCAGTAGTTGCCTCGGGAACCACTGTGGTTGTCTTACGCCAGCGCAAACTGTAGCGACTGCGAATAAATGGTGGCTTGGTCGCCACAATCTGATTGCCAAAAACTGTTGATTGGTAGGATATTATTAAATAGTTAATTTATTAATAAAATCTAGAAGATAGCTTACCCAGCCCAAAAAGGCAACAGCAAACGATCAGTAGTAGAGTCAGCTTCATTATGTTGTCGCCTTTTAAAGCAAACTGTAATTTTTCACAGCACCTCAACTGCATTTATAGTCCCTTCAAAGCTGAGATAATCAATTCCCAATTCCCCATTGAAAGCGAAATCATACCGCAGTTCCCTGGGGAACTGGAAAACCAGCCAAGTTCATTCACCGCACTGACGTTTCTGTATTTTTTATTTGTTATCTCTGGATGAACTCTTACTTTAGCTTACGGGTTAAGCGACATTGTACAATCGAATCAATATAATATGCCTAAGCGAAATGGTAATAAATACGTGTGAGGACTCTGAGGGACCGGCATTCTCCGGATCTCCATCAGTTATCCGCTTCCGGTTCCGGTTTCGCGGGTCGCGGACGTTTGGGTCCGGAGGGTATTGGTGGAGGTGGAACGTCGGGAACTGCACTGTTTTTGCTCTCCGATCCGTTGCGAATGTCCTCGAAACTGGGCTGCGCTGGTTCCAGATTGTTCAAGGGTAATGGCTGAATTTCTGGTGGACTCTGGGCAGGATTCGGGGGCTGATTCTCCTGCGCAGAGGGCGTGGCAGTGGGTGCAGGGCTGCCCGCCCGAAAGGGGTAACCCTGAGTGGGATAGTAATCGTACGGCGGCAGATAGTTCTGCCTAATATAGCCCGCCTGATCGTAGATCACTGGATACTGGCTATATGGATATGGGGGCAGGTGCGTGGGCTGACCTCTGAACTGGGAGGGCAGGGGGATGAGCACGGGCGGCAGTCCCTGCTGATTCAGTGGCAGGGGCATCTGCTCTTTGGACATCTCCTGGGGCTCCACGGATCCGGGTGGAATCTGCGCCTGGGGCTGCTGCTCCACGGGTGTTTCCACGGGCTGGGGCTGCGGTTCATAGGGAGCATAGCCACCTGGGTATTGAGCGGCAGATGGCAGTGGGTAGGGGAGCTGCAAAGCTATATGCATTAAACTCTTGCTTACAAAAAAATAAGTTAAATTTTATAATATCAAATTATTTGGTAATGATTACATTACAATTTTGTACTATGTTCTTCAATAAAATGAAATTACTTAAAAATAAGGATTTTCATTGAAGAAAATAGTAAGCAAATGATGATTTCGATAATGATGATTTTGTTATATACCATTCATTTCTAGGCCCTTTACAAGAATTACATTACTAGTTATTTATAATTGTTTAATATTTGTATATACTTGGGTATTTTCAAACGTGCTTATCTACTGAATTCATTTGCGGATTTTGTTTTATAGTTGTTATTTATATATTTCACTACTACTATTACTATTTCAAATGTAGTAGACCCTTGTTATATGCTGAATTCTTTTTGTTTTCTTAAGAAACAGAAATAAGTAGACAATGTTAGCTTATTAAAGCAATACTTCTAATAAAATAAAAATTAAAAAATAGTTATAATGTATTTATTAAAACTGAAGGTGATTGGAATTGATGACAAGGGCAACATTAAGTTTAACCCTCTTGTCAAGTACAAGTCAGTTTTCAATAGTTTTTTGTAGCCGTATTAAGTTATAGAAATATATACAAATTATATAAACTCACCCTCTCATTGGGCGTCAGACCAGGGACAATCGGTTGACCGAACCGCACGATCGGTGGGCTGTAGAAGCCATAGGGATTGTAGGGTCCAAAGGGGGCGTAACCCGGCTCGTGGATTGTGGGCTGGATGACCGGATAGGCCCGGCTGGAGGTCAGATTGTCGTCCGTGGTGATAAGGGCGTTGTAGACCTTTGGCTTCTTTCTCAGACGACGGGCGGCTTGCGAGTAATCCGTCCACAAAATCAGGCCCAATATCACAAGAACCAAAAACGTGTGCTGCGGGAATTGAAATCGAAACTGGTGTTTATACATGTACCACTATTCTATTATACATATTTTCCATTGACAGCTTGTCCCTGGTTTTGTCACTGCGATCGCGATCGCAATCGATGAAAAACCATAATCTGTCTAATTGATCGCCATATCGACAATCAATCAATGAATTGTTTGGACTACGCACAATTGTGTACGTGTTTGACGGAAGTTGCTGGGAGCTGCTCTACAGGGAAGCTTGTTAGTAATGTTGGTAATGGCTATGGACTCAACTTAACTCAACTCAACTCAACTCCCCGCCAGAAGAAACCCACGACTTTCAAATACCAGCACTGCAGTCGCCGAAACAATCAACACATGTCAGCCTTTGTTGCGAATTCTCTACACTTCATTAGTTTTGAATTGAAATGTAGATTGTTCCTTTAATTGGATTATGGAGAAGCCGATCGAACCGGACGGAGGTAATAAAAGTTGACTCTAGGGGAGAAATCCATTAAGAACTAGGTTCTTGGTTTTTGTATGTATTTCATATTCGGTATGCTATCATTTTAACCGTTTTCTTTTTTAGATAATTGAACACGACCTTTTTTTAAACTAGAAAGCATTTATAATATAATGTATAATTCAATTTATAGAATATTAAAATATGTATTATAAAAATTCAGAAATTAAATATTTACCTCCTGGTTTAAAAATCAATCATTTTTACGATTTCCCTATTTCAAATCTAGTATTTATATTCCAAATTTTTATATATTTCTGAACTTTCAAATAGTTTAATTTCCTTATGTTCCATACAATAATAAAATTATACATAAAACTAAATGTTTAACATTTTACAATTAAATTTATAGAAAAATAAACGATAAATTATTATAAAAGACAAATAAATTAAATATTTATCTAATAAATAATTTTAAAATAAATACTTTCCTGAAACTTAAATTCTTAAAGATCCTTTAAATAATAGAACTATCTAAAAAAACTATATGTTTCTTTATTCTTTAAAATTGTAGATTAATAAGCTTCAAAGTTAATTTAATACAAATTTGATTTGTAGTATTATAGGATGTAAAACTTATTTTATCTTAACAATATTCTCTTCTAAACTCGAAATAAATTTATTTCTTAAAAATCTCAGAACTAATTGTTTGCCCAGTGCACTGGGTTCAAGTGGAGCTGTGGCAAAGGCCTTTTCTTGGGAGAGATGGAGTGTAGGTCCGGTTAGACGAGTTGCCCATTGACGTGGCTTGGTACTGGAGCATGGAAATGCATTGGAGCGATCTGCGGAACAGTGACCGCGTTTCTGATCTTGATCCCCGAGAGCGTTGCTGCACTCTAATTGGAACTCTCGGATTACCCAGACATCCAAGCTGGGCTGGGCTGGACTATTGCTATTGTTGTTTACGAAGCGACTGACTGGCAATTTGCCTTGCTTTCCAAGCATTTCACTTTGACTTTCCTCTGCCACCAGTCATACAGCCATACAGCCATCACCCACTCTTGATCGCCAAGATCTTGCTTTCGAGGGAGCAATTTTCGACGCTTTTCCTTTTCATTTCTACATAGTTTCGTTTTCGTTTAGATTTCTTCGGCATCTGGCATCTGGCAACAGCGAAATTAAACGGATCGAATCGAATCGAATCGAATTGAGTGGAATCAGCAGACAATAATCGTTGATCAAGTGCGGAGTGGTGCACTCCACTCCACGAAATTGGGCCACCTCGAGTGCCATTGTAATGGCCGCGTTAAAAGTGATAGTTCAAAATGGTTCAATGGCCATGGGTGTTTCCATAGGCTCAGGCTCAGTGGCCACATTTCCGAGAAATCAGGGTGGGTGGTCACTTAAAGGTGTCAATGAAATATGACTTCAAAAGTGGATTGAACTGGAGTATTTCTCAAAACTATTAAACTATGTGCTCAAAAATAATAGCAGTAAAGCACGCCAGAAGACAACTAATAGTTTATTGTTTACTTAACTAAAGCTGAAATGCATTTAGTTTGTTTGCCGCCATAAATAGTACTTTTCCCTTGCTACACCCAAAAAAAAAAAACTAAGACTTTAGTTTAATTTCTTAAACTTTAGTCCAAGGCCTTTTTTTTAAACCTTTTTTGATACTTGTGTGGTATTAATTTAATGATTTAATACCCTTATTGAGAAAGTTTTCATACTCATTAGTTTAAAATTCCTGTAACAATAGTTTTTATTTCTATGACAATTTTATTTTTTGAGCTCAAGTCTTACAAGTAGATTAAACTGTGCTTTGCGGTGAAAAATAATCGTTTTAGTTTGCCCCCCGAGCTTTGCCCAGATTTCTAATTACTTAATTGTTGTTATTTATATTTTGATTGCCGTAGTTTAGTTGGATTAGTGTATACTGTAAATACACATTAAATATGTATTATATATGTATGTGCTGATCAATTTAAGATAACAAAGCAAAGCTCGTAAATCAAGTCGTAATAAATTTAAATAAAATTATTTAAGAATTATTTATTGTAACCGGTAAACAACAAATTAAACAAAAGAGTATACAACAATTTTATAGCCTTCAAAACTTAACTCTGTAATTCAGAAGTTTTAAAGATTGAACTATAAACTGCTCCCTTCTAATATTAAAAGTTATGCCTTATCTTAACCTTTTTTATTTATGTATAATTTTAAATACAACAAGGCACTTAATGCTTTGCTTTTGAATGTTATTATATTTTTATGTTGCTCTTGGAATTGCAGTTCCAGCTGGCCAAGTTCTGGCCTTAGAACCATTGTCTGCTCCCCAACCCACTCTCTATCCCATTCGCGTTGCTAGTTTGGCACGTTAGAGGTGGAGGCTGACTCAGCCGCCAATCGAGTCAGATTCATGGCTAAGACCAGACCAGTTCAAAGGCAATAGATGCCAGTGGCGTAACCTTAAACCTGAGTCTTAAACTTAATCTCAACCTAATTGTGAAAGTGAAAGTGTCCGGAGAATTGTGAACTTAAAATGATACTCATGATATATAAGATATATATCAATGATGGATCAATCAATAAAGTTATCACAGACGCCGCTTACCTTATCCATTTGCATATTGACCGTGTGTTTTTTTAGTTTCCCTTTTAATTTTTTCCTTGGATTTCGTATGCAGGTGTTGACTGACTTCGAGTCAGGAAGCTCCAGAAAACCCACAAAAAGATGGCATAAATTGTCTGATTTGCACGAGTGTTTTTAAAAATGCACAATTTGCTTAGCGACTGGCCGACACGTAATGGCTTTGAAAACAAGTTGCAAATGCAGTGCACTCTGGAGAACACGGATCACGATTCGAGTTGACTCTACGCGGAGACTGCCGACGATCGACTGCCTCTTTTTGCGGCTGCGCACGCGCGTTTCTTGGTTTTCTGGGGAACTTCAGACGAACGCTGGGCGCGTTCCACGGGCAACCTTTTATACCTTCGGTGGCTTGGTGGCTTGGTGGCTTGGTAGCCACTATATGGTGGTGGCAATGAAAAGCTGGCTAAAAGGCTTGCAAATAAACATCTGTGGTGGCTTTGGGGTTTTTATGGGCGTACGGACAGGAACTTCTTGGCCTAGTTGGCCTAGTTTCAATTAGCCTTGCCTCGGGTCTGATGACTTTTTTTTATAGATAAATAAAAATAAATACATATACATCGGTAAAAAAAATTTTTAAAGCTGGCTGTTACCCAGACCTCAGCTGTTGGTCTACTTCTCTTTAAACATTGCAAAGAAATTTGCATTTTCTTAGACCTTGTTTAATGGCATTGCATTAGTTTACGTTTAAATTGCTCATGCGACATGTTGTCTTGGTTAGGAAAAGTTGTGTACATTTCACCGATTTTCTTGTACTTTTAAGCCACTACATAATCAAAGAAAAGTAACCACTTTGTTAGATTTGGATTTTGGTTTATGTTTTAAGACATTTTAAGTCTATAAAAGAAACTTATGAATTATGCTTGAATTCAATGAAATATTACATATTGTCATCATAGAAACCAAACGAATTTATGTTATAATGTTTTTAGCTTTCCTTACAAACCTTTTACCTTTTTCCTTTTTTTCTAGGGTATTTCCACTTCGAATGCATTGAAACTGAAGTACAATCTAAGCAAATCCAAATGCTTTCCCATTGGAGGAGGCATTTTCATTAGCTTCGATTTAATTGCTCGTCGGCATCAAATGAACGCAATAAACCGGGCGAAAGTGTAGAATAGAGGCGTAATGAAAAACCAAACTGGGCTAGGAATTTGTTCAGCTCTCGACACTCTGGAAATGCAATTGTCAGCCTCAGTCACACTGTTACTGTCACAACAAGTCTTTATTCTCAGCCATAACAAATGAACTTACCGGGTTTCACTTTCGTTGCGAAGCAAAGTTCAGAACGCTTGTTGATTTTACTCCACGGCAGTGTTTTAAGTCACTCTTAGCTAGCTGTCAAGCCCTCAATTCATTGTTGTTAAGCAGATTGCTTATATATGTATGCTTAGACACTCGGAGAAAAAACGAAGCTTTGTTCATAATGAAACAAAACTCTTAAAATGTGTGCTTAAAATATGTTTTGAGCAGGATATTCGCCATATATTATTTAGCTTTTTTTAAAGACAAAGAGGTGTCTAAAATTTGTATTATTTCTTACATTTTGGTCTTCTTTAAAGAAATTTTTTTTTGCCTAATATCAATAAGCAAATATGAAAATATACAATTTTAAACCCGCTTTTGAATATCATTGCCCCTTTGTTTTTCAAAGTGAACACCTCCATGATAGTTTGCTTTTATTCGCCGCAGTCACGTTCACTGTCAGAGGTGATAATAGTGCTCCGATCCGGTCGTCACCCACACTCGTGCTGCAACTTGTGGGGATTTCGGGCATTTGGTAGTGTTGCGGGGTCAAGCCGAAAACTTGAAGATCTGCTGAGGCTGTTTGATGGACCATCGTGGTGGGCGGAACCTCCTGCCGCGTTTTCTTCTTGACTTTCGGCTGAACTTTCGCTTTCCCTTTTTTTCTGTTTTGATTGGCATAATGAGTCTACGAACTCCAGTGATCTAGTCGTGCGTTTATTAGATGTTTTCTTTATTATATATTGGAGTTTAAAATCAAAATAGTTCGGTTTATTTTATACCACATGACTTAGACAAATAAGCAATTTTCCATCAAAATTAAATCAAAAATGTTCGATTTAATGTTTACAAAAATGTTTAATGTTATACAAAAACAATTTAGAAGTTTTGAATCTTTTCTAATGATTATTAATAATAATTCGATTTAATAACTCTTTATGCGTATTGGGTCTTCTTTTTTTTTTGCAATCCCATTTTTAATTATTTTTCTCTGAAACTGAATAATTTATAAGAAATTAAAAACAATGGTTTTTTATAGCAAAATTCTGTTAGCTAACAGACACAAATTGACCGTTTACATGTGCACTGTGCAAAGCTGACTGCTATAAAACAAGACTCACCTTTCGCCACCTAAAGCTAGATGGCGCAACTGTATGAACAAAAGAAATCAGCTTGATATTTGGTTCACATCTTGTGAAAGTCACGTCACTTTTGTGATAAGCCGTGATTCAGACTTGTTGACAGACGTGCATTCGAAATCTGGCATCTGGAACTTGGAGGCACCTGCATCTATCGTTGCCTGGCGACCTTTGCCCTTTGATAAGGGAAATCGTTGGGCCAGTCAATCACCCGCAAGTCGACCCGATAGAAGGTTAATTTCATCGGCAGATCTTGCTATAAATACGGTTGCTGAGCTTAGCACAAATTGCAGTTGCAGTTCTGACAGAGTAAGAAAAAGACACCGCCATGAAGGTCCTTCTAGTTCTCCTTTTGGGTCTGGCCTTTGCCCTGGCCGATCACGATCACGATCACCACCACCACCACGAACCCTATGTGGTGAAGACCCACGACGACCTGGTCACCTATCGCACCTTCTGTGCCGACAAAGTTCACGCCGGCGAGGAGCTCGTGGAGAAGTACAAGAAGTGGCAGTATCCCGACGACGCCGTGACCCACTGCTATCTGGAGTGCATCTTCCAGAAGTTCGGCTTCTACGAGCCGGAGCACGGATTCGATGTCCACAAGATCCATGTGCAGCTGGCCGGTACCGGTGCTCAGGTGAACCATTCGGACGAGACGCACCAGAAGATCGCCCACTGTGCCGAAACGCACTCCAAGGAGGGCGACTCCTGCTCGAAGGCCTACCACGCCGGCATGTGCTTCATGAACGCCAATCTGCAGCTGGTGCAGCACAGTGTCCAGGTCTAGAATTGGATCGGACTGCCCCAACCCCATCCAGAACCATCTGATCCTTATTTTGCAGTTCAAGACAACAATAAAGAATTCAGTTGTAATACAGACTTGTTTTTACTCTTCAATTATTTCTTGGGCATAAGCTTTTACATTAAATTAAAGCATTTCGGAAATGAAAACAGTATAACAAAGTGCACAGTTAGGGATATAATAAATGATTTTTGACTATATCAGTAGTATTATCAGTAGTCGTTGTGTTCTTTTGCATATATATATTTATATTATAAAGAAGTCGATAAGCAAGTCTTGTTACCTAGGTCTGTCTAAATTCTATTTGCATGAAACTTTTAAAATCATATATCAAGCTTGAAAACGTATCCAATCCAACGAATATATTTTTATAATAGTAAACAAAACGTTTTCTCATATTAACTCATTCAAAGTAAAATAATTCTGATAACGACTGGAGTTTTTTTTTTAAACAAATAAAAGCTTAAATTATTTTTGGCTCATGAAATCCTTGACCCAATGGCCAATCCGACCGGAAGTGGCACATCGGTAGGCCATGAACGCCCAGTCGTCCAACTGGGTTCTTCGCTCCTCCCTCCGGTTGCAGTAATCCACCACCAACATCAGTTCCTCCATTTGGTTGTGGCCAGCGAAGATCTTTGCTATCCGTTTGGCATTGTAGCCGCTGTCATCTGTCCAGAGGCCCAGTTCTTTCACCAGACATCTCATTGTGACTGCATCTTCGTCTCGCGATTCTTGGCGGCAATTTTCCAGATCCGCTTGCACTTTTTCCGGTGTGGGCAATTTCCAAACCGCAGCTGCTTCAGTTTTTGTGGCTATTGCAAATAGCAAACAACTCCAGCTGATTAAATGATTCATTGCGTACTCGTCAGCTTTGTGCTTATAAATGGAGCAAGTTCAGACAAACACTTTGCTTTTATATAACACTCCGGCTAGGGAAACCAGTTCTAGAAGCATCATTGGCATTAACCTAGAATTCATGGAAAATGGGTCTGCCGGCCGGTGTAATTGTTGTCAACGCGGGAGCATCTGGTGTTGACGTCATCAGAGTCTTTATAAGACACTAAATAAAAGATGTGATCTTGAAGTGGTCTATAAAACCAGTGAACCTGCACTGGGATGACTGATCAAGTTCATGAGAGGTTGGAAAAAAAACATCTAAAGTTAAGTAAAATTGTAGGACGTAAATGTCAGGTGTTTTTCCTTTCGTCTTAATTGATGACATTCTATTATATTTGCAATTGCTCCGTTTCGCTGAAATATTATAATACCCTACTACTGTTTTTTGTCTCGAGAAATCATATTTACTGTTTATTTATTATATTTATTATCTGAATTACAATTTTCTAATAATTTATCTTTAATCGAAAAGAGACAATATAATATAGTTATTTTATTTATTAATTTTAAAATAGTTTTGTTTTGTTTACAATTCGAAAAACCATATTTTTTAAGTTTCAAATATAATTCCAATCGTTGTACCCCTTTTCTTAATGTTTGACTAATCCTCCCGATTTGCCAATCCGCAGTGAAATCGACTAAACTGCAACTGCAATTATAAGTGCGCGGCTGACTGCACCGGACGACAATTTCCCAGGACCCACCCACTGTCAACCTGATTGCAGGACGATTACTGAGCATTCCAATCACACGTGAATGCCGCCTTTTATGGATGTGTACTTTTTTCCACCTTTTCTTTGACTGCGCCAACGGGCTTTGTTTTCAGTGGCGGGAAAACGGAAATCGAAGGGCCTTCGACTTTCTCCGTCGACTGTGACTACTTCATTAAACAACTCGCAGTGGCGTTTTCACGCTGCAATAGACCTTTCCGCACCACTCAACCCGTGCCCATGTCAGCCGCATTTGACAAAGCTAATTTCGCCTCGAAAGCCAGACCTCTCTGCGAATCCAAGTTCCCCCAGATCGAGCCCTTAATCCATATTCCATATTCCATATTCCATGTTCCGTACTCCGCATCCCAGACCGCAGCCAGCCAAACGACAAACAAACACTTGACACGACCTATTCAATTATTTCTCAATTAAATGTCGTGTAAAGAAGTCATCATCAAGTCGACATCGTCATTGCACTCGCATTCGTCATTGAGCGATGGTAAAAAACTCAGCCCACAAACAGAAAGAAATTTTTAAAGAAGATATGGACTTTATGTCCGGAAGTAGCATAAATAACTAAAATGATTGTAAAGTACTTAAACCTACATAAGTCCTACTTAAACTTTCTTTACTTTATTTATAAATAAATCACAGATTTCGAAATACATTTAAAACTGATTTATTTGTATACTGAAAAATTTAAGTAAAAATATTAATTATAATGCATTTTTTCGCAGTGCATCCATAAACACTTGGCACATTTGGCTGATCCACAAAAGGGGGCGTGGCATTGCATGAGTGTCGACATAGTCAAAGGCTAGGTAAATTCAATTTGGTTTTTCATTTCCATTTAGCTTTGCTCGTGCCGACATTGCGTTAGTTTGCCAGGCAGCATTAAGCACTTAGTTTCAAAGAGTTTTACATGAATCAAAAAGGAATGAATTGAAATAAATGGATATGGTACAACTGAATTCCTTTGATTTTGATGATTGTTTTTTGGTGGATTTGCCCAACAGGCTGGTTAAAAAAACAGCTAGGTTTATTATATTACGGATTTACTATAATTCATTATAATTACTGAAAATTAATGTATACAGATGTTACAACATAAAATTTGAAATATATGAATTTTTAACAAATTTAACCACTTAAATGATGTTCCTCGGAATAATAAAGTAATAACAATAGAGTTCAGTTTTAAGTAATCAAATTCTTCTTGTAATGACTTTTTAATAATTATAATGGATGTTATTTATTTTTCCAAACACAGTCTGCAATTTTTTTTTGAAAAGCGTTTAGCTTAATAAAAATTGTATAATATTTCCAACCCTGATTGTTTTTTACTTAAGCTCTAGCATACTTCAGTGTCCATTCAAATGTGGTTTAACCGGGCATAAAAATACTTTATGTTCCATATTACAAAATGCTATTTGGGTTTAATGGTCTGCGACTTGTTTCTTTTGAATGTGCATTGTTTCTCCACTGGGGTTCCCTTCATCCATTTCTGGACTGGACTGGACCCCGATCTCAACTGTTTCCATTGAGTGCAGCCACCAGTTCACCTGACCACCTCCATCCACTTTTTGAATTTCCCCAGGAAAATGGGCAGTCGTTCATTCAGACCGCTCTAATTGCAACTTTGAAACTCAATTGGGTAGACACAAGGCCACAAGGGGGCGGCCACTTCTCGAGCACAAACCACCAATTAAATATAAATGTTTGCGCTTTTCTGAACAGCGTTCGTTTCGGTTTTTATTTTTGTATTTTTTCGAATTTTACAATTTGCACATGAGCAGTGTCCGAGTCGGAAGGTCAGTTGAGTTCCACTAGTCGCATAATGAAAGCCGCTTCACAGGACACGTGCTTTTTGTTTAAGCCAGGCCAGGCCTTCTCCTTTTTTATTCACTCCAAGGACCTGCTAACGAGGTGGTTTTCTTTTTCACTCAAGGCCTGCATTTTAGTGCCGTCTTCTCTGGAGTCGGAGAAATGCGACAGTAAAAACTTTTCGCTTTGGGGGAATTGGGGGCGTGGTCGGCGGGAGGGGACGACACATTGCACCGAAAGTTTTCCCAGCTCGCTGGAAAGTTTTCCGCCCACAAAGTTCTGCGCAAAGCGGATGGAGAAAAATGCTAGAAAATTGGAATACTTTCAAAAGTTTCAAACTGAATGCAAAGGCATCTTTCATTTCGCTCACAGCGACGATGGCGGGCATCGGGTAGCGGGGTGTTTGGCAATTTTTCCAACTTAATTAATAATTAATTAGTGAATCTTCTGAAAGCCAAACAAGTGGCCATTGGCTGGCGGAAAAAGAAAAAATTTTATATAAAATAAATTCATGTTAAAACCTCGCACAAAAGGCCATGGCAATGCACATTGGATGTGGGATGGGGTGCACTGAACCGAAAATATAGGAAGATACCCAAAAATTATACAAATACAATAAAGAACTTAATTCTTAAAACTAAATTATTTAATGTAATTTTTTTAATTTTTGAAGTCTTAAGATATGTTTAAGTTTTATGTACACAATTTTAATATAAATAACTATTAACCAAACTAAAGTTTTGGTGATTTCTATAACATCATTTGATGGTTTTTACTCCAATGTCATATAGAATAAAAATAACATAGAAAGCTTAAAGCATTCAAATTTCAATTTCTAAAAAGATACATATATCTGTAATACATTTTTAGCTTTAATATGGATATCTTAGAAAACCTAAAGCTTGTAAATTGTTTTGTGGAAATATAAATTTAACAGATGAAAAATAAACAAAACCCATTAATCATTTTTAAGTAAAGTTTTTCTTGCAGTGCGCAGAGTAAGCTGGAGGTCAGCGCGAGTGGCGGCTTTTGTTGGTCGCACTCCGCGTATAAGCGGCTAAATTACTGGCCAGTCCGCTGAGTGGACTCGTCCACTGGCCAAGGATGGTCAACGGTGGCCAAGGAGGGAGGCGCGGTGGCAGTGCGGTAATTGGAATTAATTCAGCATTAAGCTGCATTTTCTTTAGCCAACTCGCTGTGATCGTGAGCGGGAACGGGAACATAACCACCAGCGGTGGACGCTCTCCATTATGAAGTACCAACATTTTGTACAATTTTTTTCTATTCCTTGTCCCGTTTTAATTCAATCGCCTGGGTTGTTAATTAATTGCGCTTAGTTGCCGCAAATGGCCGCTGGCAGATGGCCGGGGCCTGGGTGGGCGTGGCCGGTAGTTAGAGACCAGCATCTTCCGCTTAGAGTCATTAGCGGGAAAGCAATTAGCAGAACTTGGCAGCGAAATGCAATTCCGGAATATCTTTGCAAGCATGCAGTCCTTTTTCCAAGGACTTAACATTTTATCGCGCCTCCTCTACATTTTATTATTTCTAGTCTTAAATATGAATTGCGAGCTTAAGCCATGGATTTAACAAGTTTATATTCCACTATTTAATTCTTAGTGCCCAGTTTAAAATTATTTTTGTGTACTTGTAATTGTAATGCTAAATGCAATGGATACACAATTAGTTATGCATAATTAAAGCTAAATCAATATCAAACAATCGTGGTGAAGTTATTCTAATTAAAGTCTAAAGTCAAATTATTTCCAAATCACATATCAATTATGCACCCGCATAATAAACTTTTGAGTGCCTGCATTCCAAATCAAAGGCAACAATTGCAGTCAGAAGCAAACACACACTTATGTGAGTGCAGATATACAAAGACCTACATGGCGTATGCGCAATATGAATGCGAAACTGGAGACAAGTGGCGGTGCTTTTTGGAAGGGCGAGTGAGATAGCTACAATTCGTCTGCAACTTATTGATATTTTCATCACTACGAGGGTTGGCAATGACAGTACCAAAAGCGTTGAAATCAAATTTTGTTCTTTTCTTTTTATTTTTTTTTTTAATTGAACACACATTTTGTGTTAATATTTTGCCTATGCAGTTTGCTAATACGCCAAAGTCAAGTTGTATTAGTTTTAAAAGTTTTGTTAAACCTAAAAATTCTTTTTTGATTGAAATTGTTCAGGCAATCAAATAATGAACTAAATGTTTTGAAATTTATCAATCTATCATAATGCAGAAATGAAATTTCATGACCTTTTACCATCGGTATTTACCGCAGAATAAAATTTTAAGAATATTTTTGTGTTATTCTGACTAAAATTTTATTGCTTGACTTCTTTTCTTTCCTTTAACCTAAGGATTTCACGATCCACTCGCTTACTACCCAAAATGTCATTGCTGGCTGCCTTCTTGTAACAGTTTGAT